CCCCCTGTGACTATGTGGGCATGGCTGGGAGGTCACTCCTGGCCGTGTTTGGGAAGGGAAGAAAAGCTGAATGGGCCAGAACCTCCCTTGTCATGTAAACAGGAACAGGCTGAGCCAGCCTTCCGCTCCAGTTCCAGTGGGCTGGCAGCCTGGGAGCTCCAAGAATGAGTCACTGACAGGAGCAGCCACGGGTTCTGGAGCTCAGGCGGCCCCAGCCCCAAGGCACACGGTAGCTGCAGTCTGCTGGTGGGATTCAGACGCTAGGTGACAGAAGAGGGATCGTGGTGCTTCCACACGCCCCTGGGAAAATCTGAAGGCCAGTTGTCTGCAGGCCTTACTCAGGTCCCTGGAGCTTTAGCCTGGGATACTGAGCTCCTGCCTTCCGGTACTCCCTCCCTCCATGTCGTAGAGCCTTTGAGGAGCCATCAGCCAGGAATCAGGCACAAAATCTGCACCACCGCCACCCCTGTGCAGTGGGTTGGAGTTCAAGGTTCCCCACATGCAGGGACCCCTCCCCCTTCTCTCCCTCCCTCCTAGGCTCTCCCCGTCCTCCTGCTTTCACTGCCGTAACCCTTTCCTGAGAAGCAGTATGGCAAAATGAAAAGACCACCTGGTGTCGGGAAGCCCCGGGTTCAAATTCCTGGTCTGTACGCACTTGGGCAAGCCACTTAACCTCACTAAGCCTCGACTTCTGTATCTGGAAAATCTCCTTCACCCTGTGCAAGAGGCGAGCCCACGAGGAGCCCGACGTGCGGTCACCACCAGCAGCCACCTCTGTGTCAGGGTTTCATGCGTGGCAGAGCAGCCACCTCGCTGTGAACTATTGGAAAGCCAGCCCTTGACACAAGCAGCCGCCTCTCACCCACAAAGCCGGGCCGGGGATGAGAATGTCTGCCTCCCAGGGCCGCCGAGGGAAGCGGATGACCTGCGTGCGCAGAAGCGCTTGGGCCTGCACAGGGCCTGCGGGCGAGGTGGCATCGCCGTTCCCGGAACATGCCAGCGAGTGGAAGGGTGAGCGAGACAAGCAGAAGAGCTGACGTCATCTCTAGGAGCAGGACCGGAGGACAGAAGGACAAGGGCCCGGGACCACAGTGGTCCGTGCATGCAGGGACTGTTTTCAGCGTAGCCCACTGCTTGGCTAAGTACATGAGTGGTGCTCAGTAAATGTGTGTGGGACTCACCCATGAGTGAGCAGAGACTAGAGCCAGCCCAGTGCTCCACCTCCCCCTTCCACCACTTTCCGTCACAGACCTCAGCTCCCCACCCTGCCTCAGATCAGGGGTTCTTAACCTGAGGTCCGTGGATCCCCTCCAAAATGATATGCGGAATGTAGTGTGTGTTCAAGAATGTGTCTTCCTGAGTAAAGAAATGTTAGATTTCTGCCCAGAAAAGCTTTTCAGTACACCCTGCTCTGAAGGGTAGGCACCTGCCAGGCGCCCCGTGAATTCCTGTCAGTCGGAGTCATCCGGCCCCCAGGGCTGCCAGGTACCCTGTGGATTTAAAAATAAAAACAAAAAAACAGCCTCCACCTCTGTCTCTGAGATGTGCATACAGGGCCCCGCCAGCCTGCGGTTTTCCTTCCACGCCCACGAGGCGCGAGGCAGTTAACCTGCCATCCTTCGTTCACAGGAGCGATGATCCCACATCATCGGGCGGCCTGGTTCTGAGTGGCTGTCCGCTGCTGGGTGCGTCTCACAGAACCACACGCGCTCTCTCAGTCTCTTGTGACCCCCCATGTGACATAGATGTGACAAGTGGGAGTCAGGGCCCCGGAACCAAGAATATTAACTAGGCCTCGTGGTATCTGAACTCAGAATAGTCATCTCTTTTTTAAAATATTTTTTCTCACTACAAATAAATATATATGTGTATGTATGTATAAAATATATTTATTTGTATAGGTATGTATTTATTGGAGGAAATTTAGAATATATGAATAATGGAAAAAAATCACTTTTAATCTCACCCTCCTCCAAAGAACTGTTGTCGTTACCTGGCTTCTGTTCTTCCCATCTACCGTATCCGACATTTATTGAGTGCTTCCTGTGTGCCCGGTGTTCGCTCGGCTGCACGCCGGACAAGCAGTGTTGGTGCTAACCTCCCAGCACACATCGGGTGCTCTCCACCTTTGTATATGCAGTTATACTGTCTTCATTTTTAAGGCCCAGAGAGCATACTGCCTTGCCTTTCTCGCTCCGTACCATCGAAATTTCTTGCCGTGTCATTAAATATTCGTCTCCAGAGTCGTCTGTGACGGCGGTGGGAGCTTTCATTGCAGCAGCCTCCGTGCTTCTCACCCTGGGGGTCGTGTACCCCTGAGGACAGCCCCCTCAGGCTAACTGTAGCACATTTTCCTAAAGCGCCAATTAGATTGGAGGCTTTGGGAGGGGAAAAGAATATTATTTTAATATCAAAACAAATACAGATATACCATCGACTAGAATTTTAAGGAGCGCCCACAAATTTTAAAACAAAGCAGCCAAGTCCAAGGTCATGTGAGCTGGCTGTTATTCCCCAAAGACCTGCGTCCCCTCTCCTCGGAGGACGGCAGAAGCATCTGAGAAGCACTGCGTTCTAGCACGAGCCCCTCTTCTTACAGATGAGGAAACTGAGACCCAGCGAGGAGGGGTTGCCCTCAGTCCCTGTGCATGCTTTGCAGAGCTGAGCCGGGCGGCCCCGGGCCCAGAGCCCTCCCCCATCCATGTTTGGCATCACGCACAGACTGCTTTGTCCGAGGGTGTGGGTAGAGGCCTTGCCACTTGAGCAGTCAGCCCTCTGCTTCTCAATAGTGGAAACTCTTGACTTCCTACAGGCTCCGGCTCCTAGCAGCAGCTTTTCCTTCTTCACCTTGCTGGCGGGCATCTGAGCTGGCTGCTCACGTGGTGGGAACTGTGCCTCCATGGGCAGAGGTCGGTGCCTTAGGCTCCTCCGGTGCTTGGAATTTTCGCTTACAGCACTGTGTTGTGCACATGTGTTCCCTTGTCGCTTTACACCTTTATGATTGTTATGATTCTAACATGACATTTATTGAGTACCTGCTAGATGCCAGGTACCCTGCTGGGTGTTTTGTCTCCAGTGTCTCCAGTCTTCATCACCGCTGTTCCAAGAATGTGTTATTACCCCCATGTGTCTGTTAAGAAAACTGAGTAAAAGCTTATCACTTCCCCGTCATCATTCACTCCTTTAGGGACTATTTGTTGCAGACTCACTTGCCAGGACTTGTGCTAGATGCCGCGGACAATCCTGATGAGCAAATCTGATTGCACTCCTGCCCTCGATAGAACGTACAGACCGGTGAGGGAGGGAGACGGTGTTCAACAAGAATTTCACAAGCCGTAGTGAGTGTAACATAACCCAGAGCCCGTCCAGCTGCCTCTGTTTGAACCCACCTCGACCGCTTATTAGCTAGGGGACCTTGGGCAGCCCTCTGAACCCCTTGGCACCGCATCTTCCTCTTGTGTAAAATGAGGGTAATAGTCCCAGCTCGTGGGGTACTATGGCTGAATTAACCCATGTGAAGCCTCAAGGCTGGGCCTTGCCCATCCGGGTGTCTCGCTGCTGCTGGTGTATGAAGGAGAGGTGGGGGTGCTAGGCGTATGTGACAGGGGAGGACCCACTTCAGGAGACCTCGGACAGAGTGCCAGAGGCTGGGTAGGAGTTAACTTAACTAAGGGAGCGGGGCAGGGGGCTGCAGGGATGTTCCCTGCAGAGGGAAGAGCATGTGGGATGCATGGGGGATGGGCCCAGCTGAGGAATCCAGGAGTGCGGCTGGGACCCAGCAGGTGGGGAGCCGTCCAGGGTCAGCGTCTGGGAAGGAGGAGCCTGTGGTGGAGCTACAGCTGTCTCCAGGACCTGGGCTCTTTGTACTGTTGATCCAAGCCCCGAGAGGTGCTTGCGGAATATTTGTCCTATGAGCAAGCAGGCCGCTAGGTTGGCCTCACGTGGGCTTGGCTGTGGGTGTTCCAGTGTCATCCAAGCAGAAAAGGAGACCATTGTCCCTTATACACGGTGATGTGTGGACAGTCCTGTCCCCACTCACGCTGTACACAGCCGTTTTTCAGGTCCCTCTCTTCCTGGCAGTAGACTGATCCATGTGCATTTAGGGAGGGTCCAGCATCCAGGAATCACCAGGGTGGCTGCTGCCAGCATCCCCACACTACAGCTGGGGCCTCAGATCTGAGCCAGCGGTGCTCTGACATTTATAGTAGTGGAATAATCCTGTCTTGAAATCATCTTAGAGGAAACCCAGTATGTGGAATGGGAATGGGCAGAGGGACCCAGCTCACCTGAGACCTGGTACACCTGAGAACATGCTAGAGCTCCATAAAGCACAGTTAGAAACCCAAGGGTTGAGCCCAAACCCCATTTTCCAGGTGTGGAAACTGAGGCCCAGAGAGGGGGAGACTCTCCGAAGGTCATACAACTAGAGACAGACCCAGAACTGGATCCCAAACATTTGGTATCAATCTTACCACACCAAGATTGTCCTCCTCACCACCCTGACCGCCCCACTCTTCTCAGTGGGGAAGGGGTGCGTGGCTGTGACCTTGTCAAGTGTCCAGCCTCCAGGCCCAGTCAGGACACAGACCACGAGAGAGAAAAATCCAGAGGGCAGCGTGGGTGGGCTGTGCAGGGTCACGGCCTGGTTATGCTGTGTCTTTCTCTCTCTCTCTCTCTTTTAATTGAGTTTGAGGTGGTGGTTTTTTGTTTCCTTAAGAAATGGGAAAGAATGAAGCTGCGTAAACACGACGATGTTAACTCCCCGAAAAGCCTCCTGCCATTTTAACTCTGTTACTGGAGAAATAAAAGAGAAATAATTTGTCCACCCACACTGAGCTCTTTCTGACGAAGGTAGGTGAACACTGCTTTGCTGATCGAGGGTGACTGCAGAAAGTGGAGCCGCGCTGACTGCTCCTGGCTCCAGGAGCCCCAGCAGCCCGGGAGGAGGCCCGCCCGGTCGGCAGGCCCGAGTCATGGGCCCGCGTGTCCACCCTCCGCAGGTCTCCCCGAGCCGGGAGTGATGGAGGCGCTGGACCAGGCCGAGGGGCTCACCGACTCACAGAGAGAGATGCCGCCGCCCCCACCTCCTTCACCGCCCTCAGAGCCAGCTCAGGAGCCGCCACCTCCAGGGGCCGGGAGCCACTCCCTCACTGTCAGGAGCAGCCTGTGCCTGTTGGCTGCCTCTCAGGTCCTGGTAAGGACACCACAGGCCTCACAGGGCCTGGAGAGGGGGCCAGTGGAGGGACAGCCCTCCACTTCCTCCCAACATGGCCGCCTGGGGACACGGAGGGATGAGGGGCCTCCCTGGTGTCCTTCAGTGACGCCCAGCCCACGGGCTGCTGTGAGGAGGAGGCTGGAGTTCTGAGCTACAGCCTCAATAGTAGCCTCTCCCAGCCCCCTCTCCCCAGCCCCAGAAGCAGGAACAGGGGTCTCTCTGAGGACTTCCTGTCTCTGGAGGCATCTCTGGGAGCCCTCCCCTTTCCTGTATGGACCCGGGAGGTCCCCTCTGGGAAGGGCTTTCTCTTGGCTCCCTTTGGTCGAGCCCTGAGGCCTCCTCTGGACACACAGTAGCTGGGCCCTTCCCTCAGCTGCTCAGTCTGGACCTTAGGGTGCCAGGTTGAGGCTGGAGTGAGCTCTGAGGGGGTATATGGGAGGCAGGAGCCCAGGCACCAAACTCAGCCGGCCGCTCCGCCACCCCAGCTTGCCTGCGGGATGCTCTGGCTCAGTGGCTACTGCCCGCTCTGGTCGCAGAACGCCACAGACCTCCTCTCCTCCTTGCTGGCGCTCCTGGAACAGCTGGGACCCACGGTGAGTAAGCTCGCAGAGCCCCGGGGCAGGAGGGAGTGGTTGGGGCCTCCAGTCCCACCGCCCCCCACATGGGGCTCCTCTGAGTTCAGAAGATGTTTCCAGGCCCCTGCAGCGCTTCTCCCTGCCCCCACACAGACCTGGTCCAAAGTTTTCAGGGCTCGGTTTTGTCCTTGTTGAAACAGATGAGAACTAGGTCCCCACCGCCACCCTGACTGTTTGTCTGATGTCCCCCAGGCCTGGCTGGGCATTGGGACCTGGGACATCCCCAGTCTGCTGCTAGTCTCTCTGACCGTGGTCCTTGTCACTACCCTGGTAAGGCACCTCCTGACCCCACCTCAGGGCTTCCCTCCTCTGACCCTGAGGCCTGGTCCCCACCTGCTCCCCTCTGACCTACAGACTAGACGTTCTGGGTGGGGCCAAGGATGGGGTATCTGTCTCCTTCTCCACGTGGGCCCAGCCTGGGGGGAGAGGCACCTGCCTTCTCAAAATTGGTTTGCAGTGTTCTAGAATGGGGAAGGGGCTGAGGCAGGGAGAAGACTGGAGTGGGAAACCCACACCCCAGCAAGGAGACCTCGGTCCACAAGAAACTGAATCCACCAGGGTCAGGGAGGGTGGGGGCGGGGAGGACAAGGTGGGGCATGGAGCCTCCTCGCATCCAGGTGAGGGGCAGTGCCGTGCAGACAGCTCCCCAGGGAGCAGAGCTGCTCTGGACACATGGAGGGGCAGGGGGCTCAATCCCATGGGCACCCGGTCACCCAGGGGGCAGCCGGCATGGTCCCAGGTCCATGAAGCCATATGCCCCCAACTAGGTGTGGCACCTCCTGAGGGCTCCCCCAGAGCCTTCTGCCCCGCTGCCCCCCGAGGACAGGCGCCAGTCGGTGAGCCGCCAGCCCTCCTTCACTTACTCGGAGTGGATGGAAGAGAAGGTCGAGGATGACTTCCTGGACCTGGACCCTGTCCCCGAGACTCCTGTGTTTGACTGCACAATGGACATCAAGCCTGAGGCCGACCCCGCCTCACTGACCGTCAAGTCCATGGGTCTGCAGGAGAGGTGGGAGGGGTGGGGGAGGGGTGGGCTCCACGGGCCCTGGGGCTCCCAGCTCCTGATCAGAAGGGCAGATGCCTGAGTCTGACACCCAGTGCCCAGGACAGAGCGGAGTGGATCTCATAGTCAGTCAGTGCAGACACATGTTCTCCAGGTCTGATTCATGTAGAGCAGAATGCCCCAAGGTGAATGCTAAGAAATACTGTCACTGCTCATGAGCACATAGGCTTACACAGGTATACACATGTGCACACTCTCACGTACACTCCTGTGCTCAAGTAAGCTTGGGTAGGTTTCTTTACTGCAGGACTTGTCAGAGCCTTTAACATGTTTGTGTTCATGGTAAATCAGCATGGCGTAGTGTGTGGCATTCCTCAAAGTCACTCAATCACAGACCCTGACTTCGTAGAGTGTCTCATAGTGTTCCTCAGAGCACTCTCTGGGAGGTGTCCACAGCCTCTTTTCAGAGCCTCGATGGATAAGCCAGATCACCCCAGGTTTGACTTGCCCTCGTGATGTCATGGAAAGAGCGCTCGATGAGGAGTCAGGAAACCTACCTTTTTGTTTCAGCTCTGCCACCCCCTTACTGCGTGAGCTTGGGCAATTCTTGTCTCCTCTCTGGGACTCAGTTTCCCTTCCTATGTGATGAGGGCCCTTCCCGTCCTGTGCCTTTGAATACTGAACACAGTAGAGTTTGTCCAGTGTAGCCGTCCTTGCTGCCACTCTGCTGCCCCTGGGGCTTGCTCTCTCCCTGATGGCCAAGGGTCCTGGCCTTTCCTGGATAAGATGTCCTTGACTCACTGGCAGCCTCATCCCCGATGGCCAGGCCCCAGGACCGTCATGCAGGGGCCGAGCCCGGCATGTCTGCTCTAGGCAGGTGCCCTCTCTGTGAGCTTCCCAGGGCCACAGGGCCTGGAACTGCCCCCAGCAGTGACAGAGGAGAGCCCGGGGAGGGCTGCGTTGAGTTGTGTGGGATGGAACCTTTGGAACTGGGGTCCCGGCCCCCACTCCGTTAGCTGCTCCGCTGCAGGAGGCAGGAGACAAGGTCAGGCCCAAGCCTGGGCTCTGAGACTTGTGCTCCTTGTGGCAGGGCTGCTGGCACACCCACTCCCCCTTGGAGAGCTCCCCCCCCATTCCCGGCCCTGACCGCTCCCTCCCTCACCTGCCCGTTCCAAGGCCCCCAGCTGATGCCCTCCCAGCCCCTGATCCTCATCCCCCTTCCCGGTTCTTCCAGGAGGGGCTCCAACGTCTCCCTGACCCTGGACATGTGCACCCCGGGCTGCAATGAGGAGGGCTTCGGCTACCTCATGTCCCCACGCGAGGAGTCAGCCCGCGAGTACCTGCTCAGCGCCTCCCGTGTCCTCCAGGCCGAGGAGCTGCACGAAAAGGCCCTGGACCCCTTCCTGCTGCAGGCGGAGTTCTTTGTGAGTCTCCCTGGCCTGCTGCCCCATGCTAGGCCGCCCCTTCTGCTCATGTCGATCTCCCACGTGGCCAAGTGGCAGAGCGGGGTGCCCAGAACTCAGCATCTGAGAGCTTGACGTCATCTCCTTATCAGCTCGCCCACTGTCATGGGCAAGCTGCTTCCCCTCTGAGTCTCAGTTTCCTCACCTGGAAAATGGGGATAAAATTGATAGGGGTGTTGCAAGGATTAGAGAGATCAATAATGTGTGCAAATTGCCCGTCTGGGTGGTCGGTGTGCAGTGGCATTCCCCATCCTTACCTGCCCAGTGCTGTGCTTGGGAGCCCCAGAAGCCTTCTCTTCTAGCAGCCCCGTTTCCCACTCTCGTCCCCCCTGACATCGCCACGCACTGTTCGTCCTCCTTTGAAATCCCCCCGCCTAGCTCAGTCTCGAGCTCACAGTGATCCTGATTGCCTGCCCTGCAGACCTCTGCAGCAGCCTCCAGCTGCCTCCTGGTGGACTTTGAGGGGCCCAGTACATAACACCCCTGCTTTACCTGCCTGAGCACACAGCCGAGACCTCGGAGACCACAATGTGGCCTTTCTGTTTGTTGGTAACGGCCGGGTTTGAAATGAGGCTTAGGGGTGTAGCCATAGTGAGCTTCCTAATGCCGCCCCAGAATTGACTAGCTTTGCACCTGCACCATGCGGTGCTGGCACATCGCGGGCCCTGTCCTGTGGGCACCCCTACAATTCCTTCTTGGAAGGAGGGCCCCGGAGGAGGAGGAAGGCAGGAGCTGGGGCCCAAATGCTGATGTCTCAATCAAACGCACTGAGCAGGGAACTCGCCCACCTCTGTGGGCAGGAATGGGTGAGAGGCCATGAGTACTTGGGGAGAGCCCCTCCTGGGAGCAGCCAGAGGGATGGGGAGCCCACGGGCCTCCCTCACAGCTCCCCTCTCCCCAGGCTGCCCTGCTCCCCACCTGGCCCGGACAGCTCTCCCTTGGAGAAGACCTCCATGCCCCTCTGACCCACTGCTCCCAATTCTCCAGAACTCGGCACCGCCTCCCCTAGCCGAGTTGGGCCAGCCCCAGCCCCCCTTCCAGCCCTGTGCACCCCCAGCCCTGCAGGGACTGTCCACTTCAACGGGACCAGGCCCCCTGTCCCTCTACTCACGTCATCCCCCACCCTGGATGCTTCTGGAAAGCCGTCCTCGACTAGCACAGCCTCAGCTCCCTCTCCAAGTCCCCACTGCTGTCACCTCCCCGTGAAGGAAGGGCTCGCGTCCTCGCTGTGCCCTGTGCAGAAGGGCCTGTCGATGGCGCCCAGAGAGAAAGGAGCGTGGTCTGCACGCACACTCCACGGGCTTTTTGCACATGTTTTTTATTTTTTTGATTCTCACAACAGCCCTAGAAGCTGTGTGTCTGATGCTCATTTACAAAGCCCAAGCTTAGTGCGTCCAAAACCAGCAAACACTGTGGAGGTGGATGTGGCCGGGCGGTCAGCTGTGGGCCAGGTGGAAGGGAGTGAGAGGGAGAAGCGCTGGGGAGTCGTCCCCCAGGATGCAGGAGCTGGGGCTGGAGGTGGACCTGACAGGGCGCAAGGATCTGGGGAACTGTAAAGCGGTGGGCCCGGTGGAAGGCCATGAGCTCAGCCGGGGAGGCAGACGGACAGACGGAGAACGGCCTGTGAGCAGTAGGAAACAGACCGCACTGCTGGAGAGTGGGTCTCTTGTGAGCAGCTGGTGGTAAAGAAAGGCCGGATCCAAGAAGACCTCACCTGCCAGGCAGAGGAGTTTGGACCTGGAGCGCTTGACACAGACGGTGGTTAGGAGGGGCAAATACAGCCCCGGGAGCTCAGATGGAGGCTCCTTTCCTGCTGGAGAATCAGGGAAGGCTTCTCGGAGGAGGTGGCATTTAAGATGGACAGGAAATGAGAAGATGAGGATGGGGTGGACGTCGCCCCAGAGTGAGCGGCACAGCCCAGGGTCCTGAGGTGGGGATGCTCAGGGCAGGAACACAGATCAGCAAAGCCACTCAGTTTGGCTGCAGCACAGGGCGTGTGGAAGAAGGCGGTGACTGGCCAGGTCACTTGTTCTCTTGCTCTTCTTTGTTCATCAACTGTTTATTGAGTGTCTACTATGTGCCGGGCTGGCCCTCAATAACCAATAGTAATAATATCTTTTATCATGCACTCAGCGTGCACCAGGCACTCTTTTAAATGCTTTTTATGTGCACTCATTCATATAACAGTAAATGTTTGCTGAATGAATGCATGCACTCAAGCCAGCCCCTGGACTAGAAGTTGGGGGCACAGCAGCCCCTGGATTCAAACATCTGTGCGGGACAGCCCACAGCTGCTCACACGCCCGTGTCCTCCTCCTACAGGAAATCCCCATGAACTTTGTGGATCCAAAAGAGTATGACATCCCTGGGCTGGTGCGGAAGAATCGGTACAAAACCATCCTTCCCAGTGAGTACTCGGTGCCCCGGGGGTGCAGGTGCCCCGTCCTCGCCTAGGTGCCCCCTCACCCTGAGGGACACCTTAACCCCAGAGCTGGGCCAGGGTGCTGGGACGCTGGTCACTGGAGGAGAAGGGGTGGAGGGTGGGGGTGCCCAGTGAAGGGAAACACCTCACGGCATTCTCTCTGGACCCTTGCCCTGGCCAAGTGTTGTGCTGGGCTCTGTGGAAACCCAGAGAGAAAGTGACAATGCCAGCAGCTCCTGGAAAGGAGACCTCTGGTGACTGAAGTGTTTTCACATCCTTTATCTCTTCAGAGTGGGCAGATTTTAAGGAGATGGAATTAAGGCTCAGAGAGGTTAAGTGGCTCAGCCACAATCACACAGCTGGGAAGTACAGAACTGAGTTTCAAACCTGGGCCTCTGTGACGCCAGAATTGGGCTCTTTTGTCCACCTTGAGTTCAGTTTGGCCAAATTCTAAGTCTTCTAACAGGCAGAGCTACCCCACAAGGGAAAGAGCTGCCTGTCAGGTAGTAAGCTCCCCGTCACTCAAGGTGTTCAAGCAAGGCTGCGTGAACAGTCCCATGGAAGGTCTGAGAGAGATTTCCCTCACTTGGGGGCGGTTAGACCAGGTGACCTAATGTTCCTCTTCCAGCCCTGGGGTACCATTTTCAGGTAACTTTCATCAAGCCCCTGTGTGCCTGTCACCCCTGCTGAGTTCTGGCCCCAGGCCCCAGGGCTGGCTTGGGGGTGACTTGTTGAAAGTGAATCCCCACAAACCTACTCTGCTCGGTTTTTGGAGTAACAGGCTTTAAAAAGGCAGTTTCGCCATCAGCATCTCCAACAACATGTAAGATGTCATGACTTATTTTTAACTTTTAAAATATCGACTTGTGGTTGCTATGGTTACGCAGTCTCTAGGTAGTTCCGGTTAAACAAAGCGCCATTTAAGGCCAGGATGCATTATTCAGGGCTGCTCACCTCTTCCCTCATCTGGCTCCCACCCCTTCACCTCGCCCCACCTGGAGGGAGGGCCTTGGGTGCCCCAGAACCTAGGGCTTTGCTGGCCACTCAGAATGGCCATGGGGGACGGTGGGAGCCAGGCCATCACTCCAGCTGGTCCCCACTGAATTGTCGAGAGGCCTCGAGCCACCTCCAGCCCTGCCCTGAACCAACAGCACATCTTCTCTGTGGCTAGCAAAAGTGGACCCTGTGTATTCAGAGACTGGCTTGGGGAGCGAGGTGAGAGAGGGCAGGTCAGACCAGGACACCCTGAGGTTTCTTCTCTCGTTTATTTGGCACACATTTGCCGAGCCCCTGCCCCAGGGTCTGAGAATTCAGACATGGCTGAGACACGGACTCTGCGCACAGGCGGCTTACAGTCTGACGCAGAGACAGGTCTGTGGACAGTTGGCTACCGAGTGGCCAGTCGCCCAGCCTGCAGCACTCAGGACAAGCTGCAGGGGAGCGATTTCTGTCCCTTTGCCCCTGGGTCCCAGGCACCAAAACAGCGCCTGACAGTTGATGGAGCCGCTGTACCCATGTGAGCGAGCGAGCGAGTGAATGAGTGTGTGCGTGCGCGCCTGCGCAGCCCTCAGGTCGCGCTCTGCCTCTCCACCCTCCCTGCCAAATGACTGTTGGGGCTCAGGGCTGCCATGCTGCCCAGTCCAGGGCGCCGTTTACATGGACCGCACCGACACGATGCCCCTGGAGCATGCCGGGCAGGGCGGCCTCTGGCCCTGACACTTCTGACTTGGGGCATTGCAGTCATCTCCTAACTGGTCTCCTGACCTCCACCGTCTCTCCTCCTATCCATCTTCTAGCGGTGTCACGAAAATGATGCAAGACAGAAATCCGGTCATGTCATTCTCCTTCTGAACGCTGTCATTGTCCCCCTTGTGATCCTCGGGGTTATAAGCATGGTTTGGAAGACCCGTTGTCAACAGGGTGCTCTCCAGCCCATTTCTCACCAACCCCCCCACCCTGTGCACTGGAATCGGACAGAATGGTGTCCCCTGCTTCTCTTTCTGGTCCTTCAGACCCAGCCCAGGTGCCTCCTCTTCCAGGAAGCCTAGTCACCCTAGCCAAGTGGAGGCCCCCTCTGCTCCCTCGGCCCACACGCTCCCTGTCTGTTCGCCCAGCACTCGGGGGCAGGGACCGTGGCTGGTTTATCTAGGAGCCCTGCTCTTGAGCACAGTGCCTGGCACAGAGTCAGGTCAAGGGTCAGTAGAACCAGGACCACCCGTCACAGGGGCTCCTTAATACAAAGGCCCCGGCGTCTGGCTCCTCATCTGGGCAGGCACCGACAAGGAGCAGGGCAACGGCCCATGCGAGGCTCACTGCTCCACTCCTGCCGTCACCAGAGCCACTTCCCTTCCTCTCTGCCCCTCTCCACCCCCACATCACCTGCCAAAACCTCGGGCACTGGAGCGGGGGCGGAACAGGACTAGAGAGGGAAGGCTTGTTCCAGTGCCCTCCCATTCTCCTACCAGGTGTAGGTCTTTCCTTTCACCTCTTAAACTCCAGTAAAACTTGTGATCATGGCGGTAATGCGGCAGCAGCCTCCCACGCAGAGCGCTTCCTGTGTGCTTGGCTGACTGACTGCTCCACGGACTGGCCAACATTCGCGCCTTTACCCTTTACGAGATGAGTGAGGTTGTGGGGCCCGACCCCATGGCGGAGTGGTTAAGTTCGGTGCACTCCACTTCAGCGGCCTGAGTTTGGTTCCTGGGCACAGACCTGCACCGCTCGTCAGCCATGCTGTGGTGGCGACCCGCGTGCAAAATAGAGGAAGATTGGCGCAGATGTTAGCTCAGGGCTGACCTTCCTCAGGGAAAAATAAATAAGATGAGCGAGGTTGTGATGGAGGAGAATGTGCCCGCCTTACAGATGAGGCACAGGAGGTTAAGTAAGTGGCCTGCATTGACGCTGCTAGTAAGTCGCAGAGCCAGGACCTGACGTCGTTCTCTGGCTCAGTGTGGACCGTTAACTGCTCCCTCCCTGCTGCCTCTGAGAGCCCCATGCCGTGCCTGCTGGGAGTGCCTCTAGTCCAGCCTCCCTGTACGGGAAAGAGCCCGAGGCCCAGCGAAGGGATAAGACAGTGAGCTGGGGACAAAGCTAGGCCAGAACCCAGGGCCCTGGCCCCCAGCCGGCTTCGTGCCAGCTGCACACAACCTCCCCACCTGAGGCCCAGCCTCTGCAGGCTGACGTACCGGGAGGCCCCGGCTGGAACAAAACAAATTCTGCTCTAGGAAGAGGGGCAGGATATTAGGAGAACCTGTTACTGTGGGATTTGACATGCAAATAGATTGAAAGAAAAAAAAAAAAAAACCCTTCATGTACACATGTGTCTGCTGCTCGGACCCTACAGTCACGTGCCAGACACGGAACCGTTGATCCTTTCACCCCGGCGTCCTCCCTCAGCCTTCTGCCCCCCAGTCGTAGCAGCCCTTTATATTTGTAAGCACTTTATGGTTTACGTAGCCCCTTCACAGCTGTTTCCTCCTTTATCTCCCCTACAAGCTGAGGAAGTAGGCATCTTTACCCCCACGTTACAGACAGGAACACAGGCTTAGGAGGGCCGGGTGCTCTACAAGAGTACGCAGCATGTCAGTGACAGTGTACACTCAAACTCTTGTGGCCCCGCTGTCCAGGATGTGCACCCCAGGTAATTCCCTCTCGTCTCCAGAACAGGAGACGCCGTGAGTACAGGGCAGCTCAAGGCACACAGGCAGGTGCGGACACTGATGCTCAGAGGGAGGACCCGGGGCTCCTCCCTCCCCTCCTCTCCAGCCAAGGCCCTCACCTGCCTGAGTGGGCCAGGGGGATGGGTCAGTGTTTTGCTACTGGGCAGGGGAAGAAGAAACTGTAAGAGTCCCAGAAGAAATGTGGGTGCCCTGAAGTGCGCCAGACAAGGTAGGCTCTGCGCCAGAGGGATTGCACATGTCAAACCCCTGCCTCACCTGTCTCCCCTCACCCCAGACCCTCACAGCAGAGTCTGCCTGACCTCACCAGACCCTGACGACCCTCTGAGTTCCTACATCAACGCCAACTACATCCGGGTACGTAGCCCCAGCCCAAAGGCCTCTGCCTGAAAGGGAGGCCGGAGCCGATGGGATCCACCCTACAGGCTTGTCCCTAAGCCGCTGCGGCTCCTGCCAGCCCCCGGGAAGAGTTGATGTGGGGACTGGGCCCCGGGAGCACTGCGTCTGACCCTGACAGCCTGGGCTTGGCTGGCCACAGGGCTATGGTGGGGAGGAGAAGGTGTACATTGCCACTCAGGGACCCATCGTCAGCACGGTCGGCGACTTCTGGCGCATGGTGTGGCAGGAGCACACGCCCATCATTGTCATGATCACCAATATCGAGGAGATGAACGAGGTAGGCACCCCTGTCCTGTTACCAGGCGTCTGCTGCCGTGCACCCTACGCTAAGCCTCTCACCTGCAGTGCCCATGATCTCCAACACGATGCTCTGCGGCGTCCCAGCCTGCAGGGGCTGACACCGGCTACTTCGTACCCATAATAGCCCATTCCATTGAGCCCCCTTAAAAGTCCTTCCAAATGGATACTCCATTTTCCAAATGAGGAAACTGAGGTTCTGAAAAGAGAAGTGACTTACAGGTTATGAACCTGATATTTGAACCCAGCCCTCTAACTGCAAACTGTTGCCCGTTTGTACCTCTGCCTGCTGGCCCTGGAGGGCCGCTGGGGAGAACGTGGCTGGGGAGCTGGGAGTGTATGGCAGCATCATCTGGGCCCCTGCAGAAGTGCACCGAGTACTGGCCGGAGGAGCAGGTGGTGTACGACGGGGTCGAGATCACCGTGCGGAAGGTCGTTCACACTGAGGATTACCGGCTGCGACTTATCTCCCTCAGGGTGAGGCCTGGGGCTGGGCAGCGCGGACGGGGGACAATAAGGGGCCTGATTGGGGCTCCACAGAGGACAGGGTCCCGAGTCCACTGTAGCGGAAATAAAGGGCTGTGTCACTCCCAGGGATGAGGCAGGGGTGATTGGACGTGAGGGCCAGAGACAGGGCCAAACCTCAGCTGTAATTTATGCTCTTGGGCTCTCTCAGGCGACACTGTCATTCATAATAATGCCTTCCTGATCTGCTTCAAATGCACCCAAGTCCAGGACTGTCCTCATGACTGAAGGTCCCTTGTGACTTTGAGACCACGCCTAGAAACATCCCTCCACCTGGCATGCTGGGCTTCTGGTCTGCGGGACCCAATCTGTCCGCCAGGGGGCAGGCGCTCCTTGCTGCATTTGGGTTGCACAGGGAGGTTGTGGTTGCAGAAAAAGGAAAAAGATAAAAAGGAAGCGTACAAAATATGAGCAATACACAGCAGCCCGGAAGAGTAGGGGGAGGCGTACTCCCACCCTGGAGTTGTGCTTCTTCCAGGCTCAGCATAATGGAAGAGATTGTTCCTTTGGAATCAGGAGGATTACCAGCTTCCATTCTTGAGAAATGATAAGACCCATGTTTGGGAAGGTAGAGCCACTGTAATGACCCCACAGGCGGGAAGAGGCGAGCTGGGCGCCAGGAGGCTGATGCCCGTTCCAGAGCAGCCTGGGATGCCCACTGTGCGGCAGCCACAGCGTCCAGCTCTAGGCCTGAGACTTGTACCTCTGAGTTGCCCCTCCGAGTTGCCCCTCCCACCGGAGAAGGTGCGAGGCGGGGTGTCAGGGAGCACTCAGCCCCCAAAGGGCGTGCCCACCTGGGCAGCTCCAAGAGCTGGGTCTTGTTGGAGGTCAGAAAGGGCCCGGAGGTAGGAGCCAGAGGCTGTGGTAGCTATCACAGCCAGATCACCCCGGGGCCCAAGGAGCCAGCCTCCTGTTTCCTAGACGGAGAGGCTGAAGTGAGGCAGGGGCAGGGCCACAGGCCTGGGGAGAGAAGAACTGGGTCAGCTTGGGGTTTAGGGCCATTTACTTCTGTCCATAAACCTTTACAAGCACCTGCCCTGGGCCTGGTTCTGGGTTGGGTACTGGGAACGCAGAGCTGTCCAAAGCCTGGACTCTCTCCTCAAGGAGCACTCATAAAATGGTAAGTACTGAGCTAGACGTAGGGAAGAACGTGGAAGAAGGGCAGTCTGCCATCTAGGGTGCTCAGGGAGGGCTTCCTAGAAGTGATGATGCTGAATGGGGTTTTGAAGGATGAGTAAGAGTTGACCAGGGGGCAGACAAGTGGGGAGAATGTTCCAGGCAGAGAAAAAAAGTAAAAGTAAGGGCATAGAAGAGAGAATAACTTTGTGTGTGTGTGTGTGTGTGTGTGTGTGCGTGTGCACGCAGGTGCATGTATGTGTCTGTAGCAGAGGTTTTATCTACAAACCATTTGGAGTGGGGGAGCATCAATTACCAGTAGGCAGGGCAAGAGATGGGCACCCCCTGTCTAATTTGCCGGCGTGAAGACTAAGGAGAGAGAGTTTTATTCAGAGAGCAAGGAGCACAATCGAAGGTTCCGAGCAGAAGAGCAGTGTGTCAGACCCACTGTTCTGACCACCGTGGCAAGGAGGCAGTCGGGGAGGGAGCTGTCTCGCCCAGTGGAGAGACAGTGAAGGCCAAGGTGGAGGAGGTGGTGGTGGAGAGGGGGCGTGGAGAGGAGAGAAAGGACCACACTTGCTGGGGTGGGCGCGGGCGTGGGCAGGCAAAGCATGGGAGGGGAGAGAAAGGGTCCCAGGCTCTGGCCATGTGACTGAGGTGTGACTGGGCTGTTTATGAAGATAGGGACCCAGGAGACAGGAGGAGTGGAGAGAGGACTCTGGGCCTCTCTTGGATGATCCTGGAGTTGCTGGGGCAGAACTCACGTGAAGACCATTGCCAACGCCACTGATGAGTCCCTGCTGCCACGCTGGCTTTGGGCCTCTGTCTGGTGCCACTGGGCAATATGGTATAGACAGCAGCGGCCAGAGGTCCGACTCCTGTGTCCTATCTCCTGTGTTCTTCCTCCTCCCATCCCATCTCCATCTCTGGGCTGGTTTGTGGGCTCAGAGAGTTCACGAGTGTCTGGGGTGGGCCTCTGTCTCCTGGACAGAGCGGGACCGAGGAGCGAGACCTGAAGCATTACTGGTTCACGTCCTGGCCTGACCAGAAGACCCCAGACCGGGCCCCCCCGCTCCTGCACCTGGTGCGGGAGGTGGAGGAGGCAGCCCAGCAGGAGGGGCCCCACGGTGCCCCCATCGTCGTCCACTGCAGGTGGGTCCCCCCGGCCACCTGCGAGGGCAGGGCAGCCTTCCCCACTCTGGGCTGCGCCACCCTCACCCCGCCCGTCCCCTCGGCCCTCAGCGCAGGCATTGGGAGGACCGGCTGCTTCATTGCCACCAGCATCTGCTGCCAGCAGCTGCGGCAGGAGGGTGTGGTGGACATCCTGAAGACCACGTGCCAGCTCCGTCAGGACAGGTCAGCCCAGGGGCGGAGTTGGGGGCACATGGGGTGGCACGGAGAGACTGACACGTGCAAGGGCGAGGGGTAGGAGGACACGCCAGCTGTGGACTGACTGGCGGACGAGGAGTAGGCAGGACAGATGGGTTGAGGGGTTGGACCCAGACAGTGGTGGCTGGATGAGGAGGGAAGAGAAACAGCTGTGGGAAGCAGCACAGGGCCTGAGTGACGGGACATGTGAGCCCCATCCCCGCTATCTATGCCAGACCTGGGAAGGACCAGGAGCAGAGGGGAGCGGCTGGCAAGGGTTGTCCCCTCCAGTCTACACAGACACAAGGCCCCTCACAAAAGCTTGGGATTCCGTGGGTTGAGGGGCACCCTCCCGCCGCCCGTCTCCCAAGCCCCGATCCCCACTGTGCGTCTCTGCCGGGCAGGGGCGGCATGATCCAGACGTGCGAGCAGTACCAGTTCGTGCACCACGTCATGAGCCTCTACGAGAAGCAGCTGTCCCGCCAGGGCCCAGAGTGACCCCCCCCCCCCCCCCCCCGCCCTCCCAGGTCCTCTGAGCCTGGGCCCCCCAGCCACATGCAGGGCCTGCCCAGGGCCCGGGCTGCTCCCTGCCCTCCTGCTTCCTTCTCTTCAGTCTGCTCCCTCCCTCCCTCCCTGCTCCCTCAGCCTCGGCCTGGCCCTGGCCCCCCACATAGCTCTTCCTACTGTACCTGCTGGGGAGTGGGGTTGGGGGAGGGATGTGCCAGGCCAGGCCTGGGGCCCCAGGGCCAGACCCACACCATGCAGGCCCAGGGCCTCGGTTTTTAACCATGGTTCCATTGCTACTTGATCCAAACGTCTCCGGGCCGCACTCCAAATGTCCCACCGCAGCGTGCTGTCAGTCCGTCCATCTCTGCCATCTGTACCGGACACTGTGTCTCCTCAGCCCGGGAAGGGGGCAGTGAGCTCCAGCCCCGACGACGTCGCCCAGGCAGAGGCGCCTTCCTCCGGCGCCACCCCGCTTCTCCAGCAGGCAGGCTGCATTTTGCCTCCAGTTATTGGGACCAGGATGCAGAGGGGGCCTGAGGCCCTGGAGATCAGGCTGTCGGGGGCTCCTGAGCGGGGAGAGATCCCAGCTGGGGGAGAGGTCTCTGGGTTGGGGGGGGCAATCACAGCTGGAGTGGCATCTGGGTATCGGATGCCCTCAGGAGGTGGTGACCAGCCTGTGCGGCACTGGGGAAGGGGATTTATGGGGTCTTGAACCCAGAGGCCCTGGGTCCTGCTGGGGGCGGGAGAGGGGAGCGCGAGGGTGGGGTGGGACTCGGCCCCTGGCCTGTGTGGCACTGTCTCTGTGTCACTGTGGGAAAAGCCTCCTGGAAGTCTGGCCGCGTGCAGCTCTGCGTGTGTTCCCGTGTCCACGCGTGTGTTGAGAGCCCATCTGCAGGGCGTGCATGACTCTTTGGCAACATGCGTTCTCTTGGAGCCACGTGTTTTTATTGCTGACTTTAAATATTTATTCCACGGCAGACAGAGACATGTGGTGTCTTTTTATAATTTGCTCGTGGTCATTGAATAGAGCAATAAAAGGAGCATTTGGAGCAAAACTAGACTCCTGGGTCTGTGTGACTTCCTCTCCCCTCCTCTTCCCGCCTCCCTGCACCCCAGTCCGCGTGGGCTTCCTCCTCGTCCAGGTTCACACGTGAGTGTGCACAGGAGCAACACACACCTACAGGGCCTGGCCCTCAAGATCCCTAGCACCCCCCTGTGGATATCGGGAGTATGGAGCGAGTCCAGATTTGGAAAGCCAAAGTCCATTTGGCAAGATTGTCACATACCCTCACCGCCCTCCTCCAGCCAGGAGCCACAGGGAGCCTCAAGGACAGGTGTAGGACGGAAGGCAAAGTGGCCAAAAGGCCACCAGCTCTGACACCTGGGCCAGAGGCCAAGGCTGGAGCAGGGGGGCGTTCACGGCACACCCAGGCCCCTCCCTGTGGGCCAGCCCATTTCTCCCTTGTTGGCCCCACAGGTCCCAGCAGCAGCTGCAAGCTGGCAGTTTCCCTTGTAAGGTCTGGGCTGAGAGTCACCCCACCCAAGGGCCCCAGGACTCTACCCGTGGGCTCAGATCCTGAGCCATCGCAGACACTCCTGCTTTATTCTCACCCCTCCCCCAGGGATGCAGCAAAAGTAGCTGTCATGCCACCCCTGGCAGTGGGGGGTCACCCCAGGGCAGGAGGGGACCCAGGGCAGGGCTGCTGACCAACCACCAGGTCCTTAAAAGGTACCAGAACCTGGTTTGGGCTGGGCAGGGTCCAGGCATGCAGGTATGCTACAGACAATGAGGAGAGACAGGGCATGGCTTGAGCAGCTGGGATGGAGGTCCCGGAGAATGGGGCATGCTCTCCAGCCAGCCACCCTCCAACAGGAGGAGGAGCCCTCCTTCCCTTCTATCCAGATTAGGGGGAGTGGGCTGTAGGAGCGGGAAGGGGGAGCAGAGCTGACATTTCCCTCTCCTCCCCCAGGGTGGCCCTGTGAGGCCACTTGGGCTGTGCCTGCACCACACGTAGGACGCAATGTGAGTGATGCCCCCTAGATTTGTGCAAAGTGACAGACCCACTTGATCCTCCTCAACCCACCAGCTTCCAGTCCCTGGGAAACAGAGACCTGTTGCTTTGCTCCCAAAGCCTTCTTGGACTGTGTGTGCACACGTATGTGAGCATGTGCATGTGCACGTGCATGTACACACATACTACTCTGAGCCCCTTAGTTCAGAGAGGTCCCACCCAGTAACAGTGAGAATCAAAACCTCTGCCACAAGGGAACAGGAAATGTACCCCTGGACCCCTCCCCAGCCTCCCACCCACCCGGCCCCCCACATTTCCTCCAGCCCTGGCTCCAGCCTCACTTTCCTTCCCCGTCCGTCCCCTGCAAAGCAGTGTGCCATCTTGCTAGGGCGGCTGCAGAGCCTGAGTGAGAGATTGCCCCCAGGGGGCCAGACATTTAAGGAATCGGTGACTCCTGGTGGCCCCACTGCCGGGGTAGAGGAAGGAAACTGGCCAGTCTAGGGCCCAGGCACCAGCTGCACCACCAAAACCGGGGACACAGCGTTCGAGGGTTAGGAGGGACTGATCACGTGAAGGTAAGGCTGCCCTCTTGCCTCAGGAAGCTGACAGAGCCTGTGACCTCCTGAGCCCAGAGGGGGACAGCAGGAGCTGGGACAGAGGAGTGGTCCCAGAAGCCAGAGGCAGAAGCAGGCCAGGGAGGATATATCAGCGGGGAGGGGCGTAAAGTTCTGCCTCAAACCTCCTGGGCCAGAAGAACGCTTTTGGGTCCCCTGGAAGGGCAGTGGACTGGGAGTCAGAGGCCAGGAGTCCAGTCTGAGTGACCTCGGACAGGTTATTTCTCTCGGACATCAGTTTCCTCATATATGAAGTAGGGGGTTGAATACTGCCATGCTGGTGAAATAAAAGATGCTGTGGACATCCCTTCGTTGATGGACTGTGAAGCTGGTAACAAGAATGCGGAAGCTCTGATGAGCTGCTGTGCAGAGGTCCAGGATGTATTCACTGCAGATGGAAGGGGCTGTAGGGTGTGTACAATGGGCCCCCCTCCATGTACAAAGGGGACAAGGACAAAAACCTAGCCACATTTCGTGAAGGAGCTCCCGAGGTGTCTGGAGACCACAAGTGGTCCTGTCGGGAAGTTTAGGGGATGGAGCGGCTTCAGAAACTCTTCAGAGAGAGATTTATATTGTTTTATTTTTTCACTGTGTGATTGAACTACCAATTCAAAAAAAGTTTAAGAAATAAAAACTCAACCTGTCTTTACCATGTCACAAATGAAAGAGGCCCATAGAAATGTGCTATTGTCTGTCTTAGCATTCCACCAAGGCCAGGGTCCCCAGGGCCCAGGAAGAAGGCCCACAGTTTCCTTCCAAGGCTGGCCCCAGGATGGCTTAGTCAGGAAGTCCCTTCCAGGTCTGACTTCATTCTCTCCTGCGGAAACAGCCAGCGCTGCGTCCCTAGTCCACATAGCTATCCATGGGTATCTTCAAGTCCCTCTGGGCCTTCCTGGGTTCGCTGGGTAAGTCTAACCCCTACATCCTCCCCCTCGGCGAACTTGGAATGGGTTGGGGTTACTCAGTGGGCAACAGGCCCATTGGTTCTTGTAACCCACCAGGGAAAGGGAGATACAAAGGGAAGAAAAGAGAGGCTAGAAAACACAGGCTTGCTGGCCAGCCTCTCCTCACCCTCTTCTGTGCACAGCCGTCTCCACTGTGTCCACCTGCCCCGTCCCTTCCCCCCTACACACATAGAACGTGTCTGAATCTCTCTCCTGCTCCCTCCCTTGTCCTCCATGGCCTCGTCCTCTCCCTGGTCCTCCCAGGTGAGTGCCCACGCCTGCTGTCACCATGACAACCATTCACCACAAGCAGATGCTGCAGGAGCACGTGTCTCTGGAGCTCTCCAGCTTCAGCACCCACGTGCAGACCTTCTCCCAGACAACCAAGATCGTGGGAGGCAAGCAGAGCGGGGAGGGCTGGGGCGATCAGGAAGGGGCAGACTTTCTTCCTCCAGTCTTTGCAACTCCAGGGCCTCTCAGGAGCCCAAGATAGCAACAGTAACCCTCTCCCAACCTGTGCTTCTAATCTGTGCTTTGATGAAGCTTCAGCTGGCCAGATGTTCACCCACAGATCAGATCTCCAGGAAAACAGCTTAGGAAAAATCAATCACATGGATGTGTGTGAGTGATTGATGGACTCTTAATTGCTTCGGGAGATCAGAGCCATAGGCAAGTGCGTGTGTCTCCGGTGGTAGAATTGCAGGCATGGAGGAAGGAAGGGAGGTAGCTACCTTAATTACACATGAGTAATGCTGACCCCGCTCCACTTAAGAAATAGCAGACTTGGAGCTGCCAGTGGAGAGAGAGTGAACACATGAACAAGTGACCTAAGCTTCCAGGCTCTCCACCCTTGGGGCCCAGACTTGGGGGCTGGCAGATCCAAGAGAAAGCTGAGATGTGGTCTCAGAGCAGAACAGACGGTTTTAGTCCTGTCTCCAGAGGCATGTGATTAAAAGATGGCCAGGGGCCAGACTATTGAATACCTGTCTTCCCGGTCCTTGCGCCTCCCTCAGAGTCCTCTTTGCACAAAGACAGATGAACGCTCTTTACCAAGCCCTCGAAGTCAGAGAGGCAGAGCGAGTGGAACAGCCAGGGCTCAAGACCAGAAGTTGCAAACTCAAGCGATTCTAGTAATGGTTCTCAGCCCTGGCTGCACGTCAGAGTCATCTCATGGTGGCGAGCAGGGGGAAGGGGGGGAAAAGTAGCGATACCGGAGACTCCCCTTAGACTGTTAGATGTTGCTTTGTTGTTGCTGTTTGTTTGTTTGTTTTTAAAGCTCTCCAGGGATCCTAATGTGCAGCCAGAGTCGAAAGCCACTAGCCCACAGGCTCTGGGCGGGGAACACAAATGCAGGAAGAAGACTGAGATGGACTGCAGAGCGCATACCTCATCTAAAGGGGCAGCCACTGTTCACCTCCCACGGACTGTCGCCCTATGGGAATACAAATCCAGTTTTGAGAATCCAGAAATCTGAATTTTTATGTGAAATCTCTCAATTTATAGATGTAGAGCCACTTTTTGTTTAAACATTGTAGAGGTCAAATAAAACACATCAGCAGGGCAAGTGCAGCCTGCGCACAGCTTGTGGGAGACCTCTGATTGCAATTTAAAAGCAGGCCACGCGGCTCCCTAACACACTGTTCTCATCCCAGTCCTTCAGATTAGTGAGGATAATAAAGGCACCTACCTCACTGGGATGTTGTGAGGATTAACTAAAACAATCTCGGAAATGTGCTTAGCACAGTTCCTGATTCCAGGAATGCACTCTCGGAATCACAGCCATTGTTATTAACTGTTACCTCTCCAGCCAACGAGGTTGCCTGTAATCTATACGGAAGAAACGACCTTTGTTTTCCAAATACAAAATTATATTACCGGATCGAATATGCTCTTTCAGATAAGGAGATCCGATACATAGCCCCCCTGGAGTGGGAAGGAGAATTCACCACGCCCAAGGCAATAAATGCTGACCCCACCGAAAAGCAGGGAGAAGGCCTCCCAAGCAGCAGCAGACTCAAGGCTCTCTTAATGCTCCTAGGGGAGCAGGATTTCCAGAAGAGAAGCCCACGAGACTAGGAAAAAAACAAAGAGAACTCTCCTTTTTTAAAAAAAGATATATTAGGACTCAGGGCGTGGCCCCATAAAGGTGATTGACCATTGAGGGGTGGGAGGGGAGCTGGCTCCCCCTAGTGGTTGAAATTTGCCATAACACAATGACCCATTGACTGTAAGTAAGGTCCTCCTTTCTTAGCCAAAGCCGGTCGTGCCCTCGCTGACCTAAAATGCTCCACTGTGCCCTCAAGGAAAGGTCAGCCCTCCAACTCCGGGCTGAGCTCCGCCTGGAGCCCATTCTGACCTCTCGACTGCCGCCACAGAGCAAGTCGTGTCGAGGAAGTCCTCGGCCACTGTTGAGTTCTTCAACTTGGATGCCGGAGCTCCGACGTCCCTGCGGGCGAGAGCGCCCCGGAGTTCGTGGGGAAGCCTCAGCCCGTCACCGCGTCCGAGGGCGTGTCGTTCCCCGCGTCTCCCCAGGCCCCTGGGTGCTTCCCTTTCTTCTCCAGTGCCCCAGCCGCCGCCACCACCACCACCCCTGGCCCCCAATACACAAACACTGTCAGAGCCAGGCTAAGGGTCCCCTCCTCTGCCCGGGGCGGGGGCGAGATCGCTGGGAAGAGGCAGGGAGCAGGCAGAAGGTGCAGCCGGGAGGCTAAGAGGCGACACGCGTCCTGTGCACACCGCAGGGGATAAAGCCGTGTTCCCAGCCCGGGTGCAGGGGAACCCCAAACCCCACATCTCCTGGAAGAAGGAGAGCGGCATCCCCATCAAGGAGTCCGCCAACATCTTCTACGACAGCATTAACAAGGAACACGTGCTGAAGGTGCAGGGACCCGAGCCCGAGGTCCAGTTACCCATGAGGCCAGAGGCAGGGACTCCTGGGGTAGGTCGCCGGTCTCTCACGGACAAGAGACCCACAATGACGCTCCAAGAAGTGGGAGATGGGCAAAGAGGCTTCATTGCCCTAGGGAGGGACAGGATAAGAGAGGCCGAGTCAGGAGCTGGGGTGTTGCCAGAGGCCGGGCCTGGGGAGATGGGGGATGACACCAAAATTAGGGGCGGGGCAAGGCAGAGCTAGGGCAATACCAGCACAAGGAGGGGGCAGGACCAAATGAAAGAGAAGGAGGGGTTCCAGAAGGTGAGTGAGCCAAAAGGGAAGGTGAGACCCAAGCTATGGGCATGGCTAGAAAGGGGCGGGCCCCTCGGTGGGTGGAGCGTGGCCGAGTCGGGGCTGGGCCGGAACGGAGGAGAGGCTGGTCATAAAATAAGGATGAGGGTCAGGGTTCCTCTTCCAGGGAGCCTTCCAGAAGAGTGTCGTCAAGGGCCAATCATCCTTAGGTCTAACCAGCTTCTGCAACCTCCGGCTCCAGACCCTTTGAGAAAAGGGAGAGATGGGGTCACTGGGGAGATGGGGTCACTGGGACCCTGGGACCTTACTCCTGTCCCAATCCTGCCCCAAATTCCTGTTGTGAAAGGCAGAGTCTCCCCTCTCCCAAACAGACAGGAAGTTGGTTCCTTCTCTTCCAAAGACCCATTGTTGGACCCTCAGCGCCCCCCAGCACACACAAGCTGCCCTGGAGTCCCCCTACTGGCCATCCCCTATACAAGTTCATTCATTCCAGAGTCCACTGGTCTGTAAGCGCCATGCTACAGGCACCAAGACAGCGATAGTCACCACCATTCCCTCAGGGGCTCAGCCCCGCACCTGGCATGGAGGAGTAAATACGTGTTAAATGAAGGAGTATTCAGCCCAGTGCCAGAAACTGCAGCTAGAGTTACCACTCGGAGGAAGTCCCTGTCTTCCAGAAGCTCACAGCCAAGGGGGAGAATCCAATGCACAATCAGGCTACAAACAGACACCCCCACACTGACTGCTACCTGGTTCCTCCACATCGTAGAGGCTGCTCAGTCTTCCACACAGACACCCACACTCAGCTCCCTCCATCCCCCCAAAATGCCCTCCTTTCCCATCTCACAGAAAGTCTCCCCGTGGTTCCCTCCCCCCTCCCCTCCTAAGGGCCTGACTCTGATCCAGCTGGAGCCGCTGACCTCAGATGACTCTGACAACTACGAGTGCACGGCAAACAATGACCATGCCGACGCCATCTATACTGTGGCCTTGCTGGTGACAGAGGGTGAGCCAGGCCCCTCCTCCTGGCCTTTCTGCTTAGGGACCAAACTCCCCCTGTCTGACCCTGTTTCTCTCTCTGTCCTCAGGTCAAGATAAAATGGATTTCAAAAAGATGTTGAAAAAGAGGTGAGGCTGAGAGGCCCTCTGTCCATGTGTTATCCCCCAACCCTCCAGCCTACAGTTTCTCAAAGGCCTTTCAACAGGGCCCTGAGTTCATGGCCCAGGCGCCAAGAATCTATGGAGTAGGGAGGGGCATCTCAAGGTTAGGAGAGGCTCCCTCTGTCTTCAGAGGAAGGCACTGAGTTCAAGGTTGGCAGCCACTTCCTTCCAGGGTTCCCTGCTCCCAAGAAGAAGCAGAAGAAGGTAGCAAATGAGAAAGAGATGCTAGAGGTTTTGTCTAAGGTGCCCAAGGACTTTGAGAGGCTCTGCATAGAGTACGGTCTCACCAGCTTCCAGGGGCTCCTCAAGAAGCTCAAAGAGATGAAGAAAGTGGAGGTGGAGGTCAGTGCCCATGAGGAGGCGGGGGTCTGCAGACCAAGGGCGGGGCCTCACCAAAAGTGCTAGTGCCTGTGTGTCTCCCAGTGGCAAGGTCTCCTCGCCGGCACATGCTACTCAAAGGCATACTCTCTACTGTGAGAGCAGGAAGGGAACTGAAGTTGCCTTCTTCCTCCCTCTCCCTCTTCACCACTCCCTAATGGACTTGCATGGACTTTGGCGTGAGAGATACCTGGGTTCAGATCCCAGCTCTACTGCTTTATTAACTTTTTGAACTCAGCCATCTCTCTGAACCTCAGTTTCCTCATCTGCAAAATGAAAGTTATACTTTCCTCTTCCGTTTGTCTTTGTGTTATTCTTGTCATTCATTCACTCAACCAACTCGTAATTCTTAAGCATCTACACTGGAATTAGAGAATCCATGTAATTGGCCCAGGTACAGAGTGACTGTTCAATGAATAGGGCTTCCTTTCTCGTCTCTTATCATATCCACCTCCCTAGAAATCTTCCAGTTGAACATTGTGGGGGGGACGGGGGCGGGGCAGGGGATTGCTATCTAGTTAGCCTAGCCTAGCCATTTCTCCTAAGACCCTTAGGGGGCTCCTCCAGAATTGAGGACACAGACTGGGCAGGCTCCAGGTGTCCCTGACACTTGCCATTTTGTTATCACAATCTCTCAGGCCATCTGGATTCTGAAGTCCTTGGAAAATATAGAGACCAAGGTTGACACCACAGTGGTCTCTGACTGTGTCATGGAGCCAAAGGACCCCAAAGTCAAGATGATATGGATCAAGGTAAGAGGGGGAGGGTAGCTAGGCAGGGCCCACCCTGGCAATTTCATTTCCTCTCCCTTCACAGACCCTCTCATTATCCATCAGCCAGGTCATCTCTTCCATCCCATCAAGAGGATGCCTCCTGATACGGTTGAAGCTGGCTGGGAGCTGGGCTCTATTCTTAGCTCTTCCACCACTTTGCTATTTGATCTAAGACAGTTTCTTCTCCCTAAGCCTCAGTCTACCCATCTGAAAGGGCTGGATTAGATAGTCCTGAAGGTCGCTGGAGATCTGTGCCTCTAAGAGAAAGTATCTAATGAACTCCTGAATATTAAGAGTTCAGGCCTCAGGGGAGGTGGGGACTCTGGATCCCACTGAGCCGGATGATGAAGCTAGAGAGATCTTAGGGGCCTCTGGCGGTGTTTGAGGATCTTAGAGAGGTGGACGTGGCACCCTCCAGCTCATGCTGGCCTTGGGGAATGGGGACCTCTGGAAGTCTCCTCCTCAACCCCTTCGTCAGCTTTTCTACCTGTCCCAGGACACAGGGTAACAAGCCACTGAAGACCCAGTACTTCCTGGGCAAGTACAATGTGAACAGATGGGCAGCAAGCATATGCTGGTTCTTACCAATGTGAACATGAATGACGCAGGCACCTACAGCCTGTCCGTGGGCAACAAGTGGATGAGTGCAGAGCTCATAGTGCCGGCTATGAGTGTGGGCATCAAGGGGCACAAGGATGACATGGTCAGGGTCGGGGGGAGTAATAACCAGGGATGGGATCTGTGGAGATATAGGAGAGAGACTATGGGGCTATGCAGGAAAGGACTGCACGGGGCTGGGAGTCAATGGAGGAGAGAAACATGGGGTGTAAGGGAAAGGATTATGACATAAGTGTCATGGGGTGCTATAGCACAGCAGTTAGGAGCACAGTCTCTGGAATTAGACTATTGGTGTTCAAATACCAGCTTCTGTCACTTATGGGCTGTGTGATTTGGGGCAAGTTATTTAACTTCTCTTTGCCTCAGTTTCCCCACCTGTAAAATGATGCATAATAGTAGAATCTGCCTGTGTGGGAATTGGATGCATTAATATGTGCAAATTGGCTAGAATAGTGCCAGGCACATATCTAAAACTACATAAGTGCTTTTTCAAATTGCTGTTAACATTACGGGGGAGGAGACCATAGGAACATCAGGGGAGGGGATTCTAGGATTCACGAGAGGAATGAAAGGAAGGGTGCTCTCCTCAACTGTGGGCTATGAAGCCAATGACACCTGAGTCTCCATGCCCCCTTCACCATCCCACTCCAGTGACTGCCCCTCCTACTCTTTGCTGCAGGTGAGCCACTGAAGTTCTTGGGAAAGATGAAGCCAATGAAGGTGACAGAGCACCAGACAGCTGTGTTTGAGGTCCGCCTCTCCAAGGAGGTGCCCAACTTTGTGTGGAAGTTCAATGGGAAGGAGCTGAAGAGGGATAAACAGTATGAAATCACAGAGTCCGAGGATGGTCTGACCCACATGCCTAAGGTTAAAGATGCCAGACTCAGTGACAGTGGCAAGTACTCTGCCATGGCGAGGGACCTAGTACAGAAGGCCCAGCTCACTATTGGTCAGGCCAGAGCTTGAGGGGTGGGCTTCACACCACAGCAGCCTCCATGTGCGCAATCATCCATCCACCCATCCATCATCCATCCACCCATCCATCTATCCACTTCCTCCTTGAAAGGCCCTGTGATGGGTACGAGAAAGACAGAGGGTTGTTCTCTCCACTAACTCCTAGCCCAGTGGGAAAGACAGGTGTGGAAATGGAATTCGAACAAAAGTTCTCAAGCAAGGAGTCAAGATACTCTGGGATCTTATGATCAGCTGGGAGATCATAAGATCATGGGCCATGAAATTATTAGCCTTTATGGCTTTAATATCGTATATTACAGCACATCACTCTTGACTCCTCGCATTCTTATATTATCTAATAGGTATAGAAGAGTTGCACATGATGGTGGGTACACCAAGAAGCATGCCACACATGTGAACCACAATTGACACATGTGACATAGAGTCATCATTGCTGTGATGGAGGGAGACACAGAGGCTGTGGGAGCCCAAAGAAGGGGCACCACCTGGTGATGTCAGAAAAGATGTGATGAGGTCATGGCCAAGCTTTACCACGAAGAACCAAAAGGAGTTCAGCTTTCAGAGAAGGGCGAAGAGGAGAGGACATTCTCAGCAGAGGGAATGGCATGTGTAAAGGCCCAGACACCAGAGAGACAATGTAATTATGGCTGGGGTTCAAAGAGGGCATTAGAGATCCTGGCTGCGGTGCTGTGAGGAGGTAAAAGTTGCCATCCCATTTTACGTACGAGGAAACTGAGACTCAGAAAGTAAATGCATTACATACAGTCAGCTAGCAAGGGGCAGAGCTGGGACTCTCCCTGCCAGTGCCTCCCTGGATCACACGTAGCACGGAAACACACTCCATGTCACAAGTCCCTATGTTTTCTGGGGTGAAAAAGGGGAGCAGGAAAGCATGCAGCTTCAGAAAAGGGATGCAGGAGGTTGGGAGTGGGCCCAAGTCTTTGTCTATCTGTCCACAGGCATCCCCATCAAGTTTGTGAGCACCCTGAAGAACGTACATGTGAAAGAGAGGAGCCGTGCATGCCTTGAGTGTGAGCTGACATCCAAGGATGTGACACTGTGCTGGAAGAAGGACGGGTGGCTGCTGGAGCATGGAAGCAAGTACAGCATGAACCATGAGGGCAAGCGAGCAGAGCCGGTCATTGGGGATGCACAGCTCAGTGACGGTGGTGAGTACACTGTGGTGGCCATGCAGGATGGGGACCCCACTGAATACAATAGTACTGCCACAGTCACCGTGGAGGGTACATACCCTCCCTGTCAGTCCCCGCTGACCAACCCCCCACCCCCGACCCTAACAGTTCCCTACTGTGGACACTGATCAGTCCCCCTACTGACCCCAACCCTCCCCAGACCATGATCAGTTTCTACATCTGCTCTCTGACCACCCTCATCTCCCAAATTCCGACCGTCTCTGACCTCTCAGGCCTTTATCTCTACCTCCTAGATCCCATCTCTCAAACTCTGAAATCCCTTGACTTCATCCGATCTTCACCTCCAGACTCTGACCAGTCCCAGCAACCCTGATCATCCCGCACCCCTTGACCCCGACCAGCCCCTACTCACTAATTCTGACCATTCCCCACTGACCCTGACCACCCTCAACTCTCCAATACCCTGGGCATCCCACAGACCAGCGTAACACAACTCAATATCTCAACTCCACTAACCACCTGCATCCCCACCTTCTAGTCGCCCTTCTTCGGCTGAGCATTCTAAGTCCCCACCAACCATCCTCCGATGATCAGCCCCCATTAGCCATCTCCCAGTCTTCCTGGTGGCCATCTCCCAATGCCACTGCCTTCCCCCCAACCCTGCACCTACTTGCTCCAGTCCCCCTAACTTACCATTACTCAGTCTCCCATTGACCATTTTCAAACCTCGTGCTCATCATGAATGGTTTTGATAGACGCAGCACCAGTGCCCCTTCCCATGGCCATCGCCTCCAGCCCTTTTCCCGCGAGTCCCTTCCACGCCAACACCCCACCCCAGGCCCTGTCTGCTTCCTCCCTAGAGCGTCTGGCCACCGGTGAAGAGCAGGATGCCCAACGTTCACGTGACCACCGGGAGCGCAGCTGAGCTGTGCATAGTGCTGAACGGCGAGAAGGTGGAGGGCTCGTGGCTGAAGGATGGCAAGGAGGTCCGAGGTAGGAGCCAGGGAAAGGGACGAAAGAGGAAGAGGCGACAGCGCATACACTCACACTCACGCCTGCCCCTCACGCCCCAGATCACGGACTTGCGCGGCGTGCAGATCGTGAAGCAGGGTGCGGTCCACAAATTCATCTTCCCCATTATGGGCCCCGAGAATGAGGGCACGTACACATTCCGGGCCAAGGGCGTAGAGAGCGAAGCCTCGGTATTCATTGCAGGTGAGGTCGCCCGGCGCTCACTCTAGACGAAGCTCAACCGCGCTACGCCCTCCCGGCTCTTGGCCCCGGCATCCCCGTGAGCTCCTCCCCCACCGCTGCCGGGCGAGCCTGCCCTGCCGCGCCGCCCCGCCCCGCAGATCCTCCTACCGACAACCCGTCGGTGCTGGAGGGACTGGCCGCGCGCCCAGTGACCGTGAAGGTGGGCCACATGGCAAAGCCGCTGCCCAAAGTGACGTGCTACGAGGACGGCGTGGAGGTGACAGAGGAGACACGCGTGTCCAGGGAATGCAGGGAAGACCAGGCGCTGCTCACGGTCTCAACCTGCGTGCGCGAGGACAGCGGCCTCATTACGCTCAAGCTTGAGTGAGCGTGGCTCAGCCACAGCCGCTCTGCACCTCCGTGAGCTGCTGAGAGCAGGACTGCGGCTGCGCTGGGCGGAGGGCACCTGCTGCTCAGCGCTCAGCGGGGGAGGCCGGCTGCCCAGAGTTGGAGTTTGGATGGAGAACGGGATTGAAGTGCTGGCTTTGCAGCCATAAGCCCCCTTCTTAATTTCCTAACTAGGTGGCCTTGGACAAGTCAATTAACCTTCCTAAGCCTCAGTTTCTCATCTGCAACGGGGTGATTTGGGTTTTTTTTTTTTTTTTAATCTATTTCAAGTGAATTTAAAGCACATAGCAGAGTGTACATGGACAGCACATGATAGACCTCAGGCTTCAAATGTTACTTAAGTGTTGTTATTGGCTGGGAGAATGGTGTGGTTGGAAGTAAAGGGAAATGAGGTGAAAGAGAGGTGGGATTTACAGATGGAAGTGAGGTTGGTTGGGAAGAGTACTGGGGTTGGAAGTGAAATGGATTGAGGGGAGGTGAGATAGGGATGAGGATAAAATGAGATTGGAGAGAAAGATGGAGTGGGAGTTCCAATGGGATTTGGGATGGGTCTGAAGATAAGATTAAGGAAAGAGATGAGGAGCTGGCCTTAGTGAACTCATATTCAAATGCAAAACACACACACACATATGCACACACACACACTCACCATCACCACCTCCTCTACCTGCATTTCCATCAAGCTGTAGGGTGAGGTTTGGATTTCAATTCAATTCAGCATCATAACTGAGCACGTCCTCTGTGTTCTCAGTTCTGGGGACACAGAGAGGAAGCATCCCCAGCAGTCCCTCAACCCAAAAGGGATGAACACTGGTAGACATGTAATTATAACACAAGATAAACTGTAAAACCAGAAAGCACTGGAGTTCTGGAAGGGGACAAGAGGGCATCAGCTGAGGTAGGGGCCCCTCGGGTCTCCAGTCCACCCATTCCGAGGCAGGTGGGAGTCTCAAGAAGGCAAGGATCAAACTCTTTGGGCAAGTCTTACAAGGAGGGGCAGTGGACACAAGGAGGGGCAGTGGATACAAGGAAGGGCAGTGGATACAAGGAGGGGGCAGTGGATACAAGGAAGGGCAAGGGATCCAGAAAGCTCAGACTCTAGTGCTGCCCCCGTCTGGCTGGACCTCGGACGAGTGGGATGAAGCCCTTCTGCTCCTTTGCTCCAAAGCCCCATTCTGATGCTGTCTCCTCTCCTCAGACCATCCCAAGCCTCCCCAGGGCCGAGTGGAGTTCCTGGAGCTCTCAGGCAGTTGTGTGCACATGAAGTGGAAGGCCCTGAAGGACAATGGTGGGCGGCCTGTGACACAGTTCATAGTGGAACGGAGGGCCGGTCGGCAAGAAGGCCTAGATTAAGATAGGCGAGGTGGACAGCAAAGTCACCAGATTCTCTACCAACAAGGTGGAAGGGGAAAAGCCTACCAGTTTCATATACTGGCAGTCAATTCAGAAGGAGTGAGCGAGCCACTGGAGACACACGAAGGGTTTCCAGGAAATCCTATCGGTCAGTGAGATAGCCCTGTGCTCGGGGAGTCAGGATGGGGGCTGTCAGCCAGGGAGGAATGCTGGTCTGTGGGGAATTCCAGAGGGTCATCTCTCTAGCTGTCCCATGAGGCAGACAAATTCCAGAGTAAGAGCAGAACATTGTATTGGGCAGGAATTCTTGACCATTTCCAGTCAGATCACACGCACAACACACTCCCATGCATATATCCAGAACTGTGCACAGTTCCAGGGAAATGACTCCCCTTGTTTCTCCATTCCAGAAATCATCTCAAATTCAAGTGAGAGTGATGCTACTTTAGGGGTAATCTTGAATCCATTCTAATTTTTTTCCCAAAGAGAACCCTTGACAACATTGGCATTTTAATTATGATTGCTAATTAATGACTTGCTACACTCCTCCCAGCTGATCCCCATGTCTCAGTGTGTCAAGACAGTACCTTAAGAACTGTGGCACTGGGGACGACACCGCTTGGAAGATTCAAGTCAGTGATTCTCAGTCTTGGCTGCACATTAGAATCATCTGAGGTCTTTAAAAAAAAAAAAAAAATGCTGGTGCCTGGCCTCCACCCTAGACCAGATAAACTGGAATATCTGGAGGTGGGACCCAGACACTAGTTGGTAGTGGTGGTGTGTTTGTTTGCTTGTTTACTCCCCACTTGATGTTAATGTGCTACCAGAGTTAAGAATGATTGGTTCAAGTTTTTTTAAGGAGGGGACTAGAGGTCCCCTCTAGTCAGGGGCCTAGACAGGTGCCTCAGGGGTGGGCACCTGTCTACATGCTCCCCCTCCTAAGCCCTGCCCCCTCTCTGTCTCCCACAGAGCCCTGTGCTATTGCCTCCCAGCCTCAAGTGACTGATGTGACCAAAGAGGCTGTGACCATCACATGGAATGCCCCCACCTGGGTGAGGGGGCGGGGGGCACCGAGTGCTTGCCTACATTGTGAAACAGAAGAAGAAAGGCAGCAACCTGTGGGTGCCAGTCAACAAGGATCCCATCAAGGGTGAGGTGCTAGGGACAGAGGCCCAGGAGGGACCAAAGGGCTCTTTGTGGGTGGACGCGTGTACCCTTGCTGCTCTGAGCATACTCCCCCCACCTCAACTCCTTTGGGGATTTTAATATTATCTCATGACCCCCTCTACCATGTCTTCTCACTCTATGGTCTCCCACCCCATGGACCCCTGCCCTCATGACCTCTCAAATTCTCATTTCAGACGCCAAGTGCACTGTGGATGGCCTCCTGGAAGACACAGAATATGAATTCTGAGTTGTAGCTGTGAATAAGGCAGGACTGGGACAGCCCAGTAGGCTGTCCAACTCAGTGGTAGACAAGGATCCCGTCAGTGAGTATGAGGCTGCCAGGCCCTAACACATAGTGGAATTAGCCCTCTCAAGATAGACAGAGAATTTCCTCTCTGGGAAAGTCTAAGAAGAGGGGTCATACAGTCTCCATTCTCTGGGAGCTGCCAGTCTGATGGAAGGACTGGTTTCAGGCACAAGAGAAAGCCAGCAAGTAAAGGTTGAGAGTCAGGGATGGCGAGGAGGCAGGGTGGAAAATGTTTTTATCAAATTTTGAGTGTTTCTGGTTAGGTGAGGTAGTAGACACATGACTGAGGGCTGAGTAGGGGTGTTGGGTAGGTGATTGGGAGGGTGTGGAATTTAGGACGTGGGGTACGGGTATTGCACGTGACTGGATGTGGTTGGGCTAAAGGCTGGAGTCTTGAATATAGAGGGGTTGAGTGTATAGGGTATGCTGAATTTGGAGGGTATTGGCTTCAAGGGTGAAAGTGTTGAGTCAGTGAGAGAATTGAATTTGGAGGCTGTTGAGTACACAAGGTTGGGTATTGAGGGTGTTAACTGTGGGAGTTGGAGGTAGAAGTGGTGAAAGTTAGGTTTCAGGGCTACTGAGTATGAGAACTGGGCATGCGGTTGAGTAAAGATGAGTTTAGGGCCTGACTGGATGTCTGTGCCATCCAGAACCCCCAGGCCTGAGGCAGGCCCTGCACATGTCTGAGTCCTCCAGCTCCAGCATCTCCCTGGCCTGGCGGGAGCCTGCAGAGGGAAACCCACCCTCTGGCTACATCCTTTAGATGCAGGCTGAAGTCACCAAGTAGTGGTCCAAGTGCACAAACACCCCCATCTCGGGCCCCTGCTACACGGTGGGAGGCCTCACTGAGAGGCAGATATACTTCTTCTGAATCCGGGCTGTGAACGAGGCTGGGGTTGGGGAGCCTATGGAACTGGATGAGGGAGTCCGTGCCATGCCACCACGAGGTGAAGATGCAGAGATAGCTGAGGTTTAGAACCCGACATCCTAGCTCCAAACCTCCCACTCTCAAACTTGATCGCACGGGGGAATATTGGGTGGTGCTGTGATCAAGAAAAAGTCATCCATACTTGTTGTGCCTGGACAGAGCTAGGGGTGACCCCAGGGGCTTCCCCACCAAAAAACACCCCTCATGTGTGCCAAATAGTATGTACTGTGTGCCAAGGGCGGTGGGGACACAGGATGTACCCTAAAGAGTCTTACACACTAATAGAGGGAGACAGATGAGAAAACAAATAAATGCTTCAGGGTTGCAGGGCTGCTGGATGTCTATACGGCCTGCAGGAGGAGCATGAAGGAGGGGAGGTTGGGAAAGGCTTTGGAGGGAAGCCTTGAAGGCAAGTCTTCTGGAAAGAGGTCCATGCCCCCACCTCTCTCTACTCCATCTCAGCTGGCCCCAAGTTTGACCTCAGTGCCCAGCTGAAGAGTCACATGGTGGTTTGCACTGGGACAGCCCTCTGGATGCATGCCGCCTTCTCTGTGAGTAGTTCCCAAGCCCAGCCCCCAGATGCCCACCACTTCACCAAGGTGGCTGGTGTAGCTATCAGAGTCTCTGCCTCTGCCCCTCGCCAGACCCCTGCACTAGAGCCTGGCAGCAGACAATGGGAGAGGGCCTGCCACCAGATACCATCTGGGTGAGCCCTGGTGACATCTCCTGCCATCCCCCAGGGCTCACCACCACCCAGCATGATCTGGCAGAAAGATGGCATCCCCACCAAGGGCAGGGAAACCATCGCCAAGGGCAAAAACCACTCCCAGTTCCTCATCAACAGCACCAAGCACTCCGACTCAGGGGTGTACCGCATCTTGCCCCAGAATGACCTTGGAGAGGCATAATATGACATCCACGTGCGGGGCGGCAGGTCCGACAGTAAGAGGCAGAGGCCTCAGGGATGCACCCATGCACACACTCCACAATGTAGCCCCCACTGCGGCTCGAGTTCCTACCACTGCAAAGTCGTGCCTTACAGTAGGGAAGGCTTCTCTGGCACCACAAAGCAAAACTTTATCAGCCTTTGCCTCAATGGGAGGGTTGTTTCCGCTTTTTCTCACTGTCCTGAAGCCCCAGAGGCATTGAACTAGGACCAAGCCCTTGTTTCAGTTTCTGCAATCAAATCTGGTGAGCTTCGAGCATATGTGGAGGATGGCGGGCAGAGAGAGAGCAGACAACGGTTGAGAGGCAGGAGGGCCAGGTGGACATGAGTCCACTAAAAATTGGGATGACCTCTTAGAGAGGGCTGGAAGCTTTAGAATAAAGCCCTAAACCCCCAAGGGGTGAACTTTTATTGAACAGTTACTACTGTTCGGTGCCAGGCACTTACTCAGCATTTCTATGATAGTTATTGTTCTCCCTATTTTGCAAATGAGGAAACGGTCTCAGAAAAGATAACTTGCCCAAGTCCACAGGGCTGGTAAATGGCAGAGCTACACTTCAGAAATAGTTCTTTCTCACTGCAAGACACCAGCTGCCTGAGACTCAAAGAAGGGACATGCCCCATCCCATTGTCCATGCTTGGCAGGTGGCTGGGGTGGGGTCTCAATACTTCAGCACCGACTCCCCTACTCCCCGGTGGCTAATGGACCTTCTGACTGTACCAGATTTTCCACGACCACCCACAAACCTACAGCTGACCAAGGAGGTGACACACTGACTCTTACCTGGAACCACAGTCCCAGTATGAAGGAGGACAGTGATGCCCGCTATGTCATCATGAAGCGGGATGCCCAGACCGCCACCTGGTTCACCACAGCCGATCATGTGTTCAATAACAAGTACACGGTGACCGGGTTGCCCCCTCCCCCGGCATGAAGTACTACTTCCGAGTGGTGGCCAGAATGAAATCGGTGACAGCGACCCACTTGACACCAAGGATATTTGGCTTGTCAACAAGGACAAGAGTGAGTCAGGGAGTTAGGGTTTCGTGTTCCATCTGGGATCCCTGAGGGCAGGGATGACAGAAGTGTTGCAAGGGTACCCAAGATTTGAGGCGAAATCTGAGAACCTGAGGTGGAAGTGTTAACGTCAGGGGAGGAGACACTTTCTGGGTACTCTGAGGGGTGGGACTAACGTGGAGGTGGAGGTGGGGGTGGGGGTGCCGGGGGAGGGGCGGGGACCGTGGAGCTGAGATACACGGTCCTCTCTGAGCGGAGTGGCTGGTGGGGGTGAGGACTGGGGAAGATCTCCAACGAGCAGGGCTGACGTCCAGGAACCCTGGAGGGAGGGGGTTAAGGATGGGGATAGCGCCGGGAAACCGGAAACGCGGGGCTCAATGGGAGAGAGGGGAGACCGCGGAGGCTGGGATGACGTTGGGGAAAGCTCGGATGCGGAGTTAAAAGCCATCCAAATAACAGCTCGGGGCCGGGAAGCCGGTGGCTGGAAAGAAGTCTGGGACTCCCGGGGCTGGAAAAGCGTAAAATCTCGCGGAACTGGCATAGGTCCATCAGGCTCCGCTCCTCCATCAGCCTTCCACTCGTGGAAGCCTGGAGCGGCAAGGAGGTGGGAAACTGGCAAAAGAGAAACCTTAGGAACCAGTATAAAGTTGGGGTCCCAGAGCTGATAGCATAGGAAGCTAACCCAGGTCATCAGGGTCCCGTGGGCTGGGTCTCGGGGCGCCTTCCGAGCTCTAAACCGGCGGGCGATGGAGATGGCCTTGACCCACTCAGGGCCCGCCGACGCAGTCGAGGACCTGAGCGCCAAGTCGAAGTCGTCCCAGCCGAAGGACTGGCGCCGCGCGCCGCGCTTCCTGACACTCCCCCGCTCCCCGGCCCCAGCCGCCCACGGTGCTGCGCGGCCAGGACTGCACCATGACCTGCGCCTTCCTTGGGAACTCGCGGCCCACGGTGACCCTCTACAAGGGCGACGTCAACATCAGGTTCTGATAAAACTCCACCAGCGGCGTGTGCACAATCGTCTTCCCCACCTGCACGCTCAAGGACAGCAGCGAGCACAGCGTGCCGGTGAAGGAGCTGGGCAAGGACCGTAGCAGCTGTGCGCTCACCATCTACGTGAGGGCCCCGCGGAGCCGGACCTGAGGGGTGTGGGGGGTGCCCCGGGAGCAGCTGTGTCCCGTCTGGGGCAGATGCGCAAAATCACGGTCTCTGGGCTGTTGACAGACTCTTCTGGCAGGGCTGGCGCCGTTTTTTATTTACTCTGCCATCAGGTAATGTAAACATTCTCTGACCGGCCACCGTTTGCACCACTCTCTCCCATCTCTCAAAGTTGTTCTGTGCCTTGCCCCTGCAGACTTGCAAGTTTGCAAGAACACACACACGTGTTCCATGTTCTGCTCATCTGTGCACTTGCAGGGGAAATACTTTATTTCTTCCTACACACTCTACTGTCTTCACAGCTACATAGCTAGTAGTCTGAACTCTAAATGCAAAGCTGACCTGCCTTGCTCCCTGTTGCTTAAACTCCTAGCTTTTCCATGATCCTGTTGGTAAAATCCCAACCTACGAGGCTCCCCACCACCCCATCTACCTCTCCAGCCTCATCCTCTGCCGTTCCCTGAACTCTGCATGGCACTCCCTTGGCGTCCGTGGAGTCCACAGTTACAGACCTTTTTCATCCTGTTACGAATGCCTTCCCTTGGGGAAAGGACCATGTCCTATGTCTCTGTCTCTCAACTACTCAGCTAAGTGTCTGGCACTGAGATGATGCCTCCAGAGCGGCCGCTGAACTGTGTAACAGAACTAGGCCAGGGAAGGCACTGCGGGAGACATCCAGCTTTCACTCCACAGCTAGAGAGATCCCTGACAACTTAATTCTGGTTGTAAGCACATGGGCCCAGGGCCCTGGCTACACTACTCACCAGCCATGTGACCTTGGCAGGCCACGCTGAGCCTGTTTTCTCATCTACTTCTTAGAGCTTTTGTGAGGCTTAAATGAGATGGTGCACAGAAGTGCTTGGCAAATATTAAGGGCTGAATAATTGGCAGCTCTTGGCCCCACGTGCTCAGCTGACCTTGGGAGACTGGGGCTGGAGCTGCGGCCTAGCCCCAGGGAGGACTGAGGATCTCAGGCAGGATCCAGCCCCTGGTTCCTGCATAGTAACTGCAAGTCCAGCAGTTTGAAGTTTCCCTTGCCCCAGCATCATTAACACTAACAAACGCTTGCTTTGCTCTTTCAGACCAAGATGATAAGTCAGTTCTAGCATCAGTCACCGAGAGTCTGCAGAAGAAATCCAAGCGTCTTATGTGAGCTCCAGCCCAGCCCAGGCATCAGGAGAATGTTGTGCTGTGGGGCTTCTTGGCCTGTCCTCTGTGTGGCCTCAGTGAGGGAAGCCCAGTTTGCTCTCTGGTGCTTGTCACTGCAAACATTCAGTGAAAGGATGGGACAATAAATGGAGTGAGCTCACCCTTGCCTGTTCCTGAGTGTGGTGTGCAGCAGGAATGGGATGCGGATACACAGAACCTGGACCCCTGAGAGCTTTGTCCAAACCTACGCACACGGGGAGTGACCAGCCCCCTTTCACTGGACCTTGACTTGCCCACCCCCACCCCCTGCCACAACCACACTGGACCCTCCCCTCCCGGCAGGGCAGAGGGGGACAAGTCTTGCCAGCTTCATCCTTCTCCCCATCCTGCTCCCTCCCATTTCCTCACACCAGGTAGGTCTGTCTTCAGAATTCTGGGGTTTGAAGGGATCAGGACCTTGCCTCTTTGGAGCCCAGGGATCCCAGTGTTTGAGAATTAGAGCATCTTAGAGCTAGAAGAGACTGGTCATCCAGCCCGTTAGGTTTCCAACTTGTTTTGCAATGGAATCCTTCCTTTAAAAAAAAAAATTCCTAAGAAGCTTCTGGACTTGAATCAAGGATACGGGGTCTCTGAGCCTCCCTCCTCTACTTATCCTTTCGCCATCTCCCACTAGGGATGCCTATAAAAACTCCAGTGTGGAAATCACTGAGTCATCCAACACCCCCATGGGACCTGAGTCTCCTCTCTGACATCCCCCCAATTGTAGAGCCCCTCTATTGATGGCATGTTCACCACCACCCAAGGCTTCCCTTTCTACTCTGGGTCAGGGCACTGCCTGTTAAGATGCAAATGTCCCTGGACTGAGGTAACACATTATTCTGCCAGGGCTTCACATCTAAAGTATGAAGCAGCCAATCTAATCTCAGTCCTCTCAGCTGTTCAACTGAGCCCAGAGCCCAAGGAAAGAGGAGATGGCTGAAGGGAATCTGGATCATTCTGGAGCAGGCAGCAGGTCTGGGGTGAGGAGGGGAGGAGGCAGGCAGCCGTAGAGAACACTGGGTAACTAAGTCACCAAAGCTGCTAGGCACCCGTGCACAGGGAGTGCATCACGGATAAATCTGGATAGTGGCAAATCTACTACCCATCCTCATGAACTGCATCCTCACCCACACACAAGACCAGGGAAGTGAGACCCACTCCAACCAGCACAGTGTCACCAGAGCCAGGAAGCCAGCCTGGCACCAAGATGCACTGGTCAGGAGTGTGACCCAGGCTGTGAGGACTTCCAGGGCCCTGGCATCATACCCCCACCCCCTCCTCTCCAGGACAGGCATGTGCCACACCGGCAGACAAGCAGGGCAACTAGTGGCCTTTGATTTTTATTTTTATTTTTATATGAGCAGTAAAGGATAGAGTCACCCCATCCTTGCTCCTCTTGCATTGAATGTGCCTCGGGTCTTAGGACCCTAGAGCCCCCTCCTCTTGCTCCCAGTGCAGGAGGGGCAGGCAGGAAAGCACTGAGAGTGGAGGGGGTGGGGGACATCGGGGGGTTCCCAGCTCTCTGAGCCAGGCTCAGCACCCCCTCAGCAGCTCCCTGAGGCCCTCCCCCTATAAGACTTGAATAGACAGCAGGACAGAGACATATGGCAGAGAAAGACATAGATGGGCTGAGAGACAGACTACACACACACATAGCTGGCCCCTTCCTTTGGCATGGTTCACCCTAACCCTGGGGATAGGGTCTGAGGGTGGTGGTGTGGGGCCTGAGCTCTGGGCTGGCCTTTGAGACAGAGGAGACCAACTTGAATCCTTGGTACCCCAAGCTCTCAGGCCAAAGAAGTCCCCAACCTTGCTACCTGGACAGACACCCCTTCCCACCCACCACTTAGAGACTGAGATTGTTCAAGTAACAAGGATAGATGAGCGAAAGGAAGACTCCGCCTTCATCCAGTCTTCCCAACGAGAGGCCCGAGAAAGGGGCTTCAAGCGCTGGGCCTGGGTCATTTCAGCACAGACTTCTCCCCTCTTCCCTCAACTCTGCGCAGATCAGAAAGAATGGGAATGGGTGAGTCAGACTCTTCCACCTAGTAGAAGTGGGGGGAGGTCAAGAAGCTGAGCACCATTGCCCTCCAGAGGGGCTTTGACAGTCCCGATGGGGTAGAGGTGGGGAGACGTCTGCTTCTGGCTCCAGCAAGGAGCATCAGGCTGGCTCCTTTTAGCTCTCAGCATTGCCTGGACCACTAAGCTCTGCTAGGGAGATCCTTTTCCTGTTTACCCCCTCAAACCTGCACATTTCCCAAGTGGCACCTGCTGCCCCAGGCTGGTCCTGCAGCCATCCTGATCCAGCTCTTGCAGGTTCCCAGGTTCTGGACCCCAGCCGCAGGAGGAGAGAGGGGTGACCAGACCCTGGCCCCCTCAGTTGGCCTTGCTCAGTCTGTAGTCTTCCACTGGCTCCCGGCTCTCGACAGCTGACAGGGCGATGAGCATCTGGGCAGCGTAGTAGGTGGACATGATGAGCGCCCGCGAGTAGGGCACAGGGAAGCAAAACTTGTTGATGCCGATGGTCATGTCTGAGACCATAAAGAGCACTGCACCACTGCCTGCCGCCAGCTCAGTCCAGCGCCAGGCTGCCCCAACCAGCTGCAGCCCTGCCACAGCACGCCAGCCCATGAAGGTGATAATGGCCACATAGACCCCCACCAGGTAGGTGAAGGCACCTGAGAGGCCCGGGTAGAGGAGGGCGTAGTACAGGCCTGCCAGCACTGCCATCACCAGACCTGTCCGAAGAGCCAGTGGCCGCATGCCAAAGGCCGAGGCGTAGAGCATGTGGGTCACAGCAAACATCAGCACACCTGGGAGTGAGAGGAGATGAGGGGATGCTGAGGGCAGGCTCAGGCGAGTAACCAGTAACAGGGGATGGGGGTGGGGAGAAATCCACAAAGATAAAGACATGCCCCCCTCTCCCCTGAGGAATTCCAGAACCGATCACCAGATAACCTGCAAGGTCATCCTCCAATAGGGGCCCCACAGTCCTTGGCCTCAGAACCCTGCAGTTTCCCCACATTCTTGTTCAAGAGCTCCCTCTGCCAAATTCTTGGCTCCTGGGACCCTCAAGGCCCCAGCCCCAAGATTCCTCCCAGGTAGCTACTGTGGCGACTGACCGTGCACAAAGTAGCCCTGGTCCTGCCAGATGAGGAAGGCATCACCTACAGCGGAGAAGACGAGCCCCACAAAGATGCGGGTGGCACTGGGATGGGCCAGCAGGAATCCTAGGCCATGGGCCAGAAGGAAGAGCCAGAGGCAGAAGATGGGCAGGCACTTGATGAGGGCGCTGACCCACGACGGGCTGGATGAGGGCAGCCAGAGCACAAAATACACGCAGGTGGCCTTGAAGAAGGGCACCAGCTTGGGTCCCTCACTCTTCACCTGGAGGACATAGGACAAGGGCAGTACTCAGAGCTTTGGAGCTCAGAAGCCCATAGAGGGGCTCAGAGCCAGCCCCCTCAGCCCAGACATCCACCCCAAAGACAGGCCCACCTCCCAAGTAGGGAGGGTCAACACAGAGAAACCCACTTTGCCCTGCCCCAACCAGCCAGCGGAGTGTGAACAAGCCCGTCACCACCCTGAGGCTTAATTGATTAGGAAGGAAAAGGGCTCCACTGTTCCTGCTGCCCAAGTGCATTCTTGGCCCTGGGGCAGGACCAGAATGATCACTCACTGGGCATAAGACAGACTTTGGGATAATGTCCTCTTCTGCAGCCCAATGCTTCCCCCTTCCTGCCCCCACCCCCGCCCTCCCCAAAGCCCCTTTAGCCCCTCTCTGCCAGCATCAGCCCCCAGCTGCCTGGAATGGAGTGGAGTCAGCAGGAAACCAGAGAGACGCCACAGCTGGCCAACTCGTGACCCTCAGCAGTGGGGCCAGGGCGTGGGCTTAGGGCCCTGGCAACACCAGGTGAGTGCTAGGAAGGCATGAGGGTGGGCTCTCTCTTTGGCCAGTCTGCTCCTCAGCCTCCACTCCAGCTGCCCCAGCCAAAAGGTACCATCATGGGCAAGGAGAGCAGATGGGGATGCAGGCTGGAGAAATGGACCCATGAGTTGGGAGCAAGAAAACTGTCCCTGAAACACCAATCATTTCAGGGATTGGGGGGGTTGGAGGAGGGTGTCAATAAGTCTCAATTCCTACAGAACAAGAGCAACTCAAGGCACATCAGAAAGAGAGGCAGGAAGGGGGAGGGGTTCCCTTCCCAGCTTTTGATCTGAAGCCAGCAGACAGGCTGGGAGGAGACGAGGAACAGAAGGGGAAGTTAGAGCAGCTGACTTGGTCTCAGCTGGATTAGGGGGAAGGGCAGCTAAAGAAAGGTTGTGTCCAAGGCCACTGCAGGCACTCCCCAAACTGAGGGAGGGAGATGCTGCAGATATTCTGAATCTGTGAGCCCCTGAAGCTGCTTTCTTGGGGCTTCTGGTACAGGGTCTCTGGGGGCAATCCGGAGCAGCTGAGGTTCCATGGATACCCACACTTTACCCAAAGTGACTGTGCCTCTGGCTGGCTGAGCTGTCCAGCAGAGGGCTCTGAGGACACACTCAGACTCCCGGGGCACTAGTTACCTGGGGACTGATCAGACTGTGATAAAGGGGGTAGGGAAGAGGCAGATGGGTGGGTCCAGGGTCCAAGCCTGCGCTTGCTCTGCCCAGGTGAGAGCAGAGAGAAGAGACGACTAAGTCCCTTCCTATGGTGATTTCCACATCCAGGCTGGTCAGGGCAGGGGCATGGGCAGAGGAGGAGACTGGAGGAGACACACAGCGCGCAGTCCCCAGATCTCCACAGCATCCACCTGTCAGCCCTTGGAAGCATCAACGTCTGCTCCATACCCCTCCCCCCATCTCCCCCATATTTCCCAGGAGAAACAGGCAGTAGTAGCTGGGGTGGACTCTGACCGTCACAGAGAACCCAGCACCAGAAGAAGGCGGGTGGGGAAAAGAGACAAAGGTTCGAGTTAGAAAGTCTGAATACAAGGACGTGTCAGTAGAGAACGATCCCCCTTCCTCCTGCGCGTTCTCAACGCTGCTTAGACTCATGGGCGTCCCCTCTCCCCGCCCCCGGACTTGTTTATAAGATGAAGGAGAGGAGGAAACAAATTTGGGACAGGATTCCCAGGCGGTCTCGGGCACCCTCCTGCCCTCCCCCACGCCTCCCCGTGGTCTGCCCACGCAGAACCCGGCGGCCCGCTGCTGTCCCCTTCCTCCTCCCGGCAGCGACCCCGCCGAGCCGCGCAAGACACCCAGAGATCCACAAAGTCACGCTTCCGAGTCACGTGCCCACTGTTTTCCTCCCGCCCGCCCGCGGGCGAGGGGCGCGCGGAGGAAGGGCGCGGCGGGCCCGGGGAGCGGGGGCCGTGACAGCGCCGCCCCGCCGCCGCGGCTCCCCGCCCGGCCGCGGCTCCCGGCGGCTTGGCCTGCCGCAGCCCAGTTCCCGGCCGGTGGGCTCCGGCCGCGCGGGACACCGGCTCGCTCGCTCGCTCGCTCACTCACCACAGTGACAGGGGACACCATGGCGGCGGCGGCGGCGGCGGCGGGCACCCGCTCCGAGCTGCAGAGGCCAGGACGCGCTCGGGCCGTGGGAGCTGGCGACGACGTTAACAAAGCCCGGGGCGACGGACAATACCTCCCGCGCGCCCGGCGCCGGGTCTTTGCTCTGCGATCCCCGCGACGTCACCGCAGACACGGCCACTGAGCAGGCTGGACTCGAGGGGGGGCGGGGCCTGGCTTCGACACCGCCCAGGCCCCCCGGCTTCTGCGGAGAGAGAAGGGGCTTCTCCTCCCGGACGGGGGGGTGGGTCCCCCCGGGACCCCGCCCCTCCGGGAAGCCGGGCGAGGCATCCAGGAACGTGACCGTGATCCCAGTCCCTGGGTGAGGACCGCGCTTGGCTGAGAGACAAACACATTCCTGTCCTGGACACACGGCTATACACATTTTCTCATAACTGAGAGATCAAAGGCAAATACAGAGTCCCTTCAGCCTTTAAACATGCAGCCCTCACGGACACGGTTGCAATTAGACCCACAGCCTTCACTGTGTACAAACACACATCCAAGTGGACACACAATTGTCAGTGTATGCACAACCTTCGCCGTGAAGAGAGACACATAAATAGGTACACAGCAGCCCATAGACCCATAATCCTAACATACAGAATCACAATTATCCTCAGGCACCAAACAAGTACATAGACACAAAACTGCCAAGCACAGGTCAACACACATCCTTCAACAGAAAATCAGAGACCCACCGCAGCCTATAGACCCACAACAAACACAGATAGTTTCCCTTAGGCACACACCTCTGGCAGCTCATAGACAATTGTACCACGCACAAGAACACACTAGGAATGACGGACAGACAGACCTGAGCAATACCCAGGGACCCAAAGAAGTGTGCCAAACTAACTTGGCAAAAAATACTGCTTAAGCAGATTGCATGTCAGTATTACACAGACTAAGAGGTACACAGGCACATTTGGAACCGATCAGGTTCAGAATCGTGGGAATTACGTGGGTGGATGGTAGGCAGTCAAATGGACCAGGATCTAATGCAGTTTTGCCATTTCTGCCTCTGGCCTTGATTTCCTCATATATAAAATGAGTGGATGATCTCCAATGTTCCTCCCAAGCCCAACATGTTGTGTAGTGGAAGGAGAAGGGCTGCTGGTTTCAGGAAATACAAGTCTAGGAGGCTTGCTGGGTATGGAGACTTCAGATACATCCTAAAGGATGGACCGGTGGTCTGTGATCTGCAGTAGGAGGGAAGTAGCTGTGTTAGGCTTTGAGAATTGGGGTTGGGCAGGTAACCAGCCCTAATTAGCTGTAATTAGCAGCCACCTAGGAGTTTTAAATATCCTAGGATGGTGACACTGAGGTCCGAGTGCTGGACGCCTCCTTGTGCTGGCCGGGGCAAAGCCCACAGGTTGAGGTGTCCTGTGAGCCCCTTCTACAATGGGCCTCTTTCTTTTTCTTTTGGGCACTGCTCAGCTTTTCCTAAAGCCTGTATGGTCAACCTGACACCCACTCAGAGCAGGGAGCAGCCTTCTTCTGGTGACAGAATTGACAACCAGAGATTAAGAGCCAGGGACAAGAGGAGAGTCAAGGCAGGGACTGGGGGTCCCCCACAGCCTTCCTCCATCCCCTCCAGGCCCCTCCTACATAAAGCCCCAGTGGCCAATGAACTCTGACTGCTCTGTTTTCTTTCCGGTCAGGAGCTGTGGGCAGACACACCTTACCAGAAAGGAGACTAGAACTGCTGCCCCCAGGGCTTTGCTGTACACACACACACACACTCCCCCCACACACACATACACACACACACACACACACCCACACACATCCCAACACACACACACATACACACACACACATACACTCCCCCACACATACACATACACACACACACACACACTCCTTCCTGCAAAGTGTGCTGTCTGGAAGGAACACTGGATTGAAAGTTAGAAATACTGTGCTTAGTACTAGTGCCTCCTTCTCTGTGACCTCCTTGCTCTATAACCAGGCACATCGCTCCACCTTTGGAGACTCAGTTTCTTCATCGGTAAAACAGAGGAATTGGGCTAGATGTCAGTTTTCCAGCCAAACGCTTTACCGTCACCTAAGGGATAGTTCTCAAGCAGAGTGGCCAAGGCAGGGCGTTTTTCATTTCTCTGGACGCTAGTTTCCCTATCTATAAGAATGAGAGGGTAGGCTATAAAACTGGCTCTCAACAAACGAGGCCTGTTAAAGTTACTTGGGAAGTTGTTTAAAAACATAGTTACCCGTGTCCCACCCCAAACCAACTAACTAAGTGGCACAGACTTTAATAAACTTGGATGCACAAATACCTAAATATATAAAACATAAGACCTAGAACTGTCATCTACAGGGCTCGAATCAATGTTTGGTTCCCCAATGGGCAATCATCATATACATAGGCGGCCCCCCTACAAAGCAGAGGCATCTCCTCTCCATGCTGGTTAGTCTCTGTTTGCCTTCCCACCACCCAGAACCATTCTTGGCCCTTCTCCACCCTGCCCCTGCCCCTGGAGGCTTACCTCTATGAGCTGTGTCATCATGGCTCACTTGCTCTCTGGCTTCTGACTGAGTTCAGCTAATGAGAGTCAGAGGAAGACCTGGGAGTCAGAGGAGAGCATGGCTGAGGATCTCCCCCACCAGGCTGCTGGGCCAGGCTGAGGTTCTGACAGCGGCTCATGGCTCAGGCCTAGAGTGGCAAATAGCTTCCCACTGTTGCTTGTCTTTAGGTGACTCTACAGACTTGACTGGTCTCCTTAACCCTGCCCACATCTCTGCCAAGAGTCCTTACCTTCTCCTTAGTCATCTTCTTGAGGGTGCCAGCACCTTGACTGATACAATCACCAACAAAGCAGAGGTACTGCCCCCTTCGCAAGAAGAAGGAGCTTACCTAATTTCATTCCTGTGGGTAAGATTTATTGTCTGTTTCAAAAATAAAATATTTTACTGTTTAGTGTTTTTGTTAGATCGCATATTGCAGGGGGCAGAAAGTAGGATAAAGCTGCCTGAAATTAGGCATTCCTTCCTCTCTGTATCCAAAATGACCTGTTAGCGTGGCCCCTTTCACCCAGCTTTGTTATTTTCTCTTTACTTGCTTGTCTCCTCTATAAGAACGTGACCCCACTCATCCATTCATTCATTCAACCAGCAGATGTTTATTGTGCACCAAGTATGTGCTAGCCACTACATTAGGTGCCGGGGTTTAAAAACTTCAGTAAGTTATAGGCTCTGTCCTCATGGAGTGCACAGGTCAGTTCAGACAGCCAAGGAAACAATTGCTATGTAATGTGGCAATTAAAATAATTTGAGGTAAGAAGATACGTCTCAGGTGACATCAGAACAGCATCAGAATCATTCATTGTGCCTGGACGAGTTGAGGAAGCTAGGGCTAACTGTACAAGGATGAGCTGGTCTTCACTGAGTAGACGCCAGTGAAAATGATGTGCCAGGCAGAGGGAATTGCGTGTGTACATAGAAGCACAAGAAACACAGCGAACTCAGGGAAATGCCTGGGGTGAGCTGGGGCGCGAAAAAGGTGAACTGGAGAAGTAAACATAAGCCAGATCAGAAAGGATCTGAATGTTCTGCCAAGGAGTTTGGACTTGACGTAGTAGATGAGAGTAAGCCAATTGTCTTCTGTTCCTTAGCTTCTCTGATTGTTCCCCGTTCTCACTCACCAGGTACATGGACGATGCATAGAAATGGTGACCAACCATCATTCTGGGCTTGCCCGGCTTCCTCCTGTGGAGCAGCTTCTCACCTGTTAGCCTCTTCCATCTCTGACTCCCCTGATTTTGCCACAGGATACTTTCTCCTTGCTTGGTTTTCCCCACTTGGCGTTGTAATCAAACACTAAACTGTTTACCTTATTTCTGACCCACTGCTGGATCTCAGCTAATTTCTTTTTTTTTTCCCCCTGCTTTTGCTCCCCAAATCCCCACCAGTACATAGCTGCATCTTTTTTTTAGTTGTGGGTCCTTCTAGTTGTGGCATGTGGGACACCGCCTCAACGTGGCCTGACGAGCAGTGTCATGTCTGTGCCCAGGATCTGAACCAGCCAAGCCCTACGCCACCAAAGTGGAGCGTGCAAACTTAACCACTCAGCCACGGGGCCGGCCCCCTCACCTAATTTCTCTATGTCTGTTCCAGACTTGCAGGACACTTCGAACCAACTCTCAGAGCCACCCACCCCATCCCACAGCTGCATCACCTGTAGATCTGGGGAGGAAAATCAGGCACCCTTTAAGTCATATTAAGCAGGCACCCCTTAAGAAATATTAAGGAGGGTGTGACAAGTTCAGATATTCGAGGGTGTGACAAGTTCAGATATTCTGAGCAGAGTGGGAGAACAAGTTGATGAGTCCTTAAGTGAGCTGAATGTGTGTCAGCCAAGTGGAGGCGTTTGGGAGGAGGTGGATACAAATGTGGAGCTCAGGACCGCGGTGAAGACAGGGATATAGATTTGGAAGTCATAGCCATACTGAAGGCTATGTGGATGCGATTAACCAAGGAGGGGTCTTGAGGGAGTAGAGAAGAGGGACCAGAACAAGCCCTGTGGGGGCATGACATTCAAGGGCAAAAAAAACAAGAAGGAGAACCAGGAAGGAGACAAACCCACGGGTAAACAGGCGTCCTGAGAACCTATCTGACACATCCAGAACGCTCACGGCGAAGGAGACACACCCAGAGAAGTATATGCTCACACATGTGATCTATGCTGTGTGCGATTTGGTTCCCTCCTCTAGATCAGGTGGCAGATAGTGGTTCTACTTCTGCATGTTGACACAAATAACCCTAATCAACATATAAATCAGAATTGGGGTGAGTGTATCATGAACCAGAGTGAGGATTATAACCCAGGAAGGACTTAGAAGGCATTCCGGAGAAACACGGGTTTCAGTACAGTCTTATATCTTTTTAGAACAAAGAACATACATTAAACACACCCAGGATACACTTTCATCAAAATTTCCAAGAGATGTTCAGTTGCAAATTAGCAGGTCAACATGACCTTGATGTCGAGAATGAGACGAATCTGGGAGTTGCCCATGTGGTGTAGGAGGGGAAGCAGGCATTCTTATCTTAAGAGAGTACATTCTTTACTTTAAGAGGTAAGTAGATGTACAATGTACATTTGATAGGCCGTAAGTCAGGCTTTTTAGTTCGAGCCAAATTAGCTTTGAACTTGAATAGTTACCCCATATACCTCAATATGTGAAAATTTCTTGTCACACAGGTGGTAGGTCAGAAGCTTTGAAGGGGGTTTGCCCAGTGGCGCAGCAGTTAAGTTCGTATGTTCCACTTCTGCGGCCCAGGGTTCGCCGGTTCGGATCCCGGGTGTGGACCTACGCACCGCTTGTCAAGCCATGTTGTAGCAGGCACCCCCACATATAAAGTAGAGGAAGATGGGCATGGATGTTAGCTCGGGGCCAGTCTTCCTCAGCAAAAAACAGGAGGATTGATGGCAGAGGTCAGCTCAGAGCTAATCTTCCTCAAAAAGAAAAAAAATGAAGAAGCTTTGAAGACAGAGGACAACAACCCATCTCCATTCCTGACTTTACTTCACCAGCTCCTGGTCTGTGTGAGGTTCTACTCCCCCAACCCTAGCCCAGGGCTTTCCTACAGGTCTCTCCTGCCCTCTCTGCTTACAGGAGTCAACCTAGGAGTATCAAATCCCAGTATCACCCATCCCCTGAAGACATCCATTCCAGAATGCCTCTGTCATGCTGGAGCCCACCTGGGCCAGGCAGGTGAGCCCTGGAGTGCCCAGTGCAGCCACGGATGCAGGGTCAGCTCCTGGAGGCCTTCAGGAAAAGGACAAAGATTTTAGCAGAACTCATCTTTCCAGACCCTCAGTTAGGGCCAAATTTTAATGCTGTCTTGAGATAATATGTGGGTCAGTGTCCCTAAGGACATTCTGAGCTCTTTGGCTGGTTTCTGGGCCTGGGGCCAGACACATGTGGATTTTTATTCCTCTTTCCTTTCCTTTGTCTGTTGGTGAGGGCATCATCAGGCCTTGAGACATAAGTGGATTTCTCTAAATGAAAAGTCAGCCTTGGTGGTCTGGTGGTTAACGTTTAGTGCTCTTACCACCACGGCCTAGGTTAATTTCCTGGTCAGGGAATCACACCACCCACCTGTCAGTTGTCATACTGTGGTGGCTGCATGTCGCTGTGATGTTGAAAGCTATGCCTTTGGTATTTCAAATACCAGCAGGGTCCCTGTGGTGGACAGGTTTCAACAGAGCTTCCAGACTAGACATACCAGGGAGAAGGACCTGGCTACCCACTTCCAAAAAACTGGCCATGAAAACCCCATGAATAGCAGCAGAGCATTGTCTGATATAGTGCTGGAAGGTGAGAGGATGGCACAAAAAAGACTGGGCAGGGTTCTGCTCTGCAGGACACATGCTTCATTAGGAGTCAGAGTCTGCTCCAAGGGACTAACAACAAAGCTGCCAAAGCAAGGATCTCCTAATGAGATTCAATTAGAAGGGAAGCCCCAGAAGGGAGCCCTGATTTCAGTGGAGTTTGTAGGATTAGATGACCTCTGACACCCAAGTTTCTAGAGTTCCAGGCTCTGTGAAGTCCAAGTGTTTTAGCAAGTACTTGTGTTGGGGTCATCCAAGTTCAGTTGTCTCACCAGCCCGTCTCCCTCCCTCTCCCCTCTTCATCCCAACTCTAAGCTCTCGGGGTTGTGCTTTTGGGTTGCTCCTTCCTCAGTATTGGGAAGTTAGTATGAGAAAGCAGAAACAAGAAAGAAGTGTCTGGGCGGTTGGCAGGAGGGTGGCTTTTGAGAAAAA